CCGCCCAGGCGCCCCTATCATCTCAATTTTATAAATGGGAAAACTGAGGCTCAGAGAGGCTTATGACTTGCTTAAGATGACATAGCTAGTATTCTGTTGAATCAGGATACTGAACACAAGGCAAGAGGAATAGCCAGAAGTGGGGACACGAAAGTCAGCAAGAGAAAACCAAGTTCTAATGCCCAGAACCAGAGGGGCCATATCAGAAGCGGGAATTCAAAACACAAATAATTTCTGATTCAATCCTTCATTTTACACATAGGGAAAATTAAGCCCAGCAAAGGGACTGTGTCAAACTGGAGTTAGGCCTAGAATCCTATAGCTTTCTTGACAAGCTCTGAAGTAAGGCTCTTAAGAAAGAGAACCTGTGTTAAGAGAAATTCTGAGTTGAGAACTCACTTCTGGGTAAAATCAAGTCAATTAAATACTTATAAAACACTATACGTTCCAGACTGTGAACTATAAACAGGTGAATAAAATGGACCTTTATATTCAATCATGTTTGTCATCTACAACTTCATACAGCTCAAATGTCTGACATATAGTTGTTTACAAAGGAAGAAATTTAGGGCAGGGGCTACTTTACAAATCTTGGCTTATAGCAGTTCTGACTCCTCTTTCAAGGAAGTTTCCATTACACTTTCTGGATTCCCATAATCTGATTCGAAGTAAAATCAACAAAATCAATCTGTGAGTACAAAAGATCTTTAAAACAAATAATTTACTCATATAAACTGGCATATATTGAAGAGCAGTCATTGAGGTGACATCCGTGCAAAGATTTAAAGGGGGTAAAATGAGTTTGCTTCAAGAAAGGGAGAGGGTGGGGCGCCTGGGTGGCTCAGTTGGTTAAGTGGCTGCCTGCGGCTCAGGTTATGATCCCAGAGTCCTGAGATCAAGCCCTGCATCAGGCTCTCTGCTCGGCGGGAAGCCTAGTTCTCCCTCTCCTACTCCCCCTGCTTGTGTTCCCTCTCTCATTGTGTCTCTCTCTGTCAATAAATAAATAAAATCTTTTAAATTAAAAAAAAAAAAAAAGGAGAGGGAACAGTCAGTAGAAAGCTATGGGCAAGATGACTTTTATGTCCCAGATTTTCCAGGCCAGGCCTGAACTCAATTATCACAATCTGGTGTCAGATTATATGTGGTTCCACATTTTTGGTTCAGAAAATATGGTCACCTTAGATCTGGGGCAAATCACCCAGGGTGAAGTACCTCCTTCCTCCTAAACTCCTAACAAACTACATTTATCCAATTGAAAGTAGGTCATAACACTCCCAGGGCCAGTTTAAAGAGAAAATGGCCAAAGCCCAAGTCTGAAGAGGACAGTTGAGGCTGATCCCTTCAATTCTTCCTGCTCCAGAACTGGAGTGAGGGGAAATTTTATCAGAAGCAAACTTTTTTCTTCTGGTCACTTCCCTACATCACAGACTGCCAAAAAGACTTAAAAAGCCCGAAACCCTGAATTCAATCTGGCACCCAGGTGCTAGGTCAAGTGTGTTAAAATAAAAAGGTGACAAATAGTTATGCGCAATTCCCGGATTCCCCGCAGCTTAATTTACATTTCAGAAGTCCAACCTTACCCCACAGTTCACTCATTTTTATACTGTCTGAGGAACAGTCAAACACAGAGTCGCCCCTCAGAATAATTAACGTTGCTTACTAATTAAAAGCGCCGATTCTAGAGTCCTGACTGGTTTCTAATCTGGGTTCCACCATTACAGAGTATTTGAGTTTGGGAAAGTTACTGTACTTTTCCAAACCTCAGTTTTTTCGACTGAATGGGAGAATAAAAAGAACAATCCTGAGAGTTCTAGAGTCAGCATAAGTAATCAATAAAAGGTGCCGCAGCCGATGGTGAAAAGCAGCAAATGCAACTACAAAGACTCCCGAGGGCAGGTGGAAGGGCCGTTTGGAGACCAAGTCGACCGCCCTCCTTTTACCGACAGGTGAAGCGAAGCCGAGATAATGGGGAAGGGACTGGCCTAGGGTCACACAGGGAGTCAGCGGGGAGAATTCCAATTTAACTGCAGACACCTCAGCTGGAGAGAAAAGGGCCGGGACACGTACATCCCCAATTCAGTCGATGCTCGAGGCTGAAGAGTTCCCACTTCCGAGGAACGTGACCTCGGCTCTTCCTTGGCCTCGCAAGGAGGCGCGGCAGTGTGCCTCAGTTTCCTTCTCTGTAAAATGGGGCCGTGAGCGCCGGATCGGACAGCCGAGAGGCTTGGTGGGTCATCTCGCGCCCTCCAGCCCACAACCGCCCTTCCAGCTTTCTTGTCTCGCACTATCCTCAACCCCCGACCCGCGGCCTGCCTGGCTCACCTGCCTTCGGACGCGGCACTCGAGGCCAGGAGGCGCTGCAACAGCCGCCGGACCGCCCATACGGACCGCGCGGCCATATTCCCGATCTCGGCTGACGGAGGCAGCGCAGGCGCACTTGCTCCAAATGACGAGATAAGCGAGATACCACGCTTCCCGGCAGCCTCTGCGGGCGCTCCCAGCCCAGGGCCTCGGACTCCAACGCCACACTTCCGGTTGTCAGTGCGCGCGCGGTGCTGGTGCCTATCCGGTGTCTCCGACCGAACGCGACACTTCCGGTCCCCAGCGTGTTGGGCGCGTAGGACGGGTTTCTGTGGCGGGACTTAGGCTCGGTGCTGGTCGCGAAATCCGCCGCCAGCACAGGGGATCGCAGCTGTACCCTCAAGGAGCTTCCGTGAAATTGTAAACAATAAGTGAATGCAAACGCGACTTCAAGTCAAAATATGACTGGTGGTTAAAGGTGGGGGGCGTGGTGCCGCGGAAGCGTGGAATACGCTGTGGCCAAGTGTGGGCAGTTTCCCCAGAGGAAATACTCGAACTGAAAGCTGAAGAATGAGTAGATGAAAAGAGGAGGAAAGTGGTTCAGGTAGAGGTAAACAGCATCTGCAAAGACCAGTCCAGAGGGAGAGTATATTGCGAGTAAGGCGCTGAACTATGGGGGAAAGAGGGCCAGGCAACACAACACAGCGGAACAGATCACGCGAGGGATTTAAAAAACTTGAAGCCCAATTCCGCCATCACTCTTCCCTGCTTTTTTCTCCAGTTCCCTTGTTTTCTGACTTCGCTATGTTTTTTAATGTGTATTTTCTCATTTCCCTTCACTGGAATGTGAACTTCATTAGGGCAGAGAGGAGTTGGTTATTGCCAATGAACGATGAAACAGTGTCTTAATGTAGTACACAAATTTTTTGTTGAATGAACTTGAGTCTTAACTCTCATTGCAATGGGAACATGTTACAAAACCTTTACATGTTTAATGGGTCGCTTTGACTCCTGTATGATGGAGATTGCTGGGTCTAAGCAAAGAGGTAGGGAGACAAGCTGTTGTACTAGTCCATGCAAGGGAGGGCTGTATTCTGTCCTGGAGACCCCTTAATAGACCTTTGTAACACCCTATCTAAAGTAGCTACTATTTTAGGTGTGTCTAGCACATTTCTGGTTCCATATTTGTATTTTATTTGTTTTGTTTTCTTTTTGTTTGTTCTCCCAACTAGAGTTTGAGCAAGAGGGTGCGTGTCTTGTTCACAGTCATGATTTCTGACATCTAGTACAGTAGGTATACATAGTAGGTTCTCAACAAATATTTGTTGAATGAATTAATGGTCGATGTCAGTGGAGATAGGAGGAAGTGGATGAATTTTAGAGAGATTTAGTATGGAAAACTGTCAGGAAGTGAGGATAGATTGGTGATTAGGGTTGAGGGCACTTGGAGTTGCCAGACTAGTTACTGGGTAGTCCTTAAGGTAAGGAATGGGAAGTGTGCCCTCATCACCATAACATGGCTTACTTGTACTGTAGCTATTTGGGTCAAATTTTCTCTCTGCTTGTCTGTGAGTTCCCTGAGAACAGAGCTGGAGACTTTTGCATCTTTTTATTCTATTCGTGGCCCAGCCCAAATGTGTTGTAACCAACACCTGATGCTTCCTTTTGGCCTCAGGAGAAGGGCAACGTGGGTCAAGGAGGGATTATGATCCCCTTTTACATTTGAGAAAAGTGAGGCTCAGAGGGGTTGGTACACCTGCTCAGGGTCCCCCACTGAGGATCCAGGGACACTAGAAATCTGATAGTCCCAACACTTGGCAGTGTCAGGAAGGATGGAGCTTCAAATCCACCCTAGAGCCATGAGCCTATACCTTGAAAAAAACAAAAACAAAAACAAAAAGCCAAACAAAGCATTTTAACAGATGAGGACTGGCATCTATGCTTTAGCCATTTTGTTTACACTTCTCTTAGCTAACTGACTTATACCAAATATGCTGCATATGTACATCCATCATCTATTTATTAAGTGCTAGTGTGCTTCTGAATGCTGCAGTGCAAGAGGGGTGGTGGGGTAAGGCATGGATGAAATGGAACCTTGGAACTAAGAGGAAGGGCTGCTGCCTCCACCACTTCCTGTGGGCTCCTGCAAGTTACGTAACCCCTCTGGGCTTCAGTTTCCCTCACTGAAAACTGAGATAATAGAGCCTATCTCACAGAGTTTTAGTGAAAACAAAAGGGATGATGCCTGGAAAAGTGATTAGTTAGCACCAGGACTGGCTACGCAATTTAAAGAGCAAAAGGAAAATGTGACACCCCTTGTTCAAAAATTATTAAGAGGGTAAGGGCAGAGCATTAAACCAAGCCCAGGGCCTTACTAATCTTTGTGACTGCACAGGTTGTGTGCTTGTGAACCTTGTGAACACAGTGCCTGAGGCATGGAGTGTTCAATAAATGTTTATTATTAACTCTGTAGTGTTCCCCCTATCAATGATCCCCAAGATCTATCGGTGGGGAAAAATGCTCAACCCCCAAATAACTGCATGAGGAAGAATACATGCTGAGGACATAACTGGAGTGTTGGGTGTCATTCTAGGATCCACATTTTTAGAAAGAACATTAACAATCCAGATTATGTGAGCTGCTTTTTCATTGAAGATGTTTAAGTGGAATCTGGATGAAGACTGTCAATTATGGATTAGTTGTTTTTTAGCTTTTTGATGGCTTTGATTACCATATAAACATTTCTTCAGTGGAAAGAACACGGGAGTTTTAGTCAGACATTTCTTATCTAGCTAATAATAAGAGCCACTATCGACTGAGCATTTCCTATTTCTCAGACAGTGTGCAAGATGTTTCCCATATACTATCTCATTGAGTTTCCCCAATAGTCTTGGGAGGAAAATGGAACTGTCAACCTGGGTTTCACAGATAAAGAAAACAAGAATCAGAGAGATCAAGTGACTTTCCCAGACTCACCAGCTGGTTAGTGGCAGAGGCAGGGCTCAAACCCAGCCCTGTGTGGATCCAGGCTCATAGGCCCTAAGCCTTTTGCTCTGCCTCTGACCAGCTAGGTGATTTTGGTCAGGTTATTTTCCCTGTTCTGGTCTCCAGCTACCTCAAAGAGTGGTAAAGTTGGGATAAGGCAAAAGTATGTAAAGCCCTAGGTAGGGTAAAGTACGTGAAACCTCCAGCAAAGTGTCCAAAGGTTATTCTGGGATTTTCTTTCTCTCTCCTGGAGTAACCTTTGAGCTCTTAACAGTTAACAGGTTTTCTCTCTTTTGGAAGGAAATGTAAAGACCTAAAAAGTGCCTACAGTCTTGAGAAAGTAATGAGTGGCACAGTAAGGGGAGTGCCCAAGACTTGAGGTTCTTGCTTCCCTATAAAAGTATGAAGTGTTAGTAAAAGGCACTCCTGGCAGAAATGAGCCACTGTCCTTTGGTTCTCCCTGACAGCAGATATGAAGTGCAGACTGGAGAACCCTCAAGTGCAAAATCAAGATAAAGACATACTGAGCATCAGTTGGATTTCTAGCCCTAGCTCCTGGAGCCTGAGTGTCATATGAAATAGGTAAAGGACCTGACTGACCACAAATGACCCCACCCTCCAATGCCTGCAACATCCTGTGGACGTTAGAAATCCACGTTCCTGTCTCTCACTGTGACCTGAAAATAAGTCCGCTGCTGAACCTCCCCTCGCCTGCTGCGTATCAGATCTCTAATTTGAAAACAACTCAAATGCGGGGTTCTGGTAGCCACATCTGCCCAGTTCTGAAGCACATAAGGAATGATTGCAGAATTTGCATGTTGTCTGTAGCTTTTGTTCACCTTTACGCAGGCAGGGAAATTCTGTTGATTTTTTTGGCCTCTTTATGTTGCCCAGAGGTTGTCACGGATGCCCAATATGAATCCAAATGGCACAAGTGTGAGCAGATGATCAAGGCTTGTCTCTTTGTACGGTACTACCTACCGATGCTTCAAGCACTGTCTTCCTCTGACCTACAGCCTGGGAGTGGGACGCTAGAATGGGATGGAATGGCTTATTCACATGTGCTTTCATTTCTTCTTCAGCAGTGAGGGCAAAGACATTTAACAAAACCTTTACAACCGTGCAGATTTCTATCTCCCTCCACCCCTGTTTTCCACCCTCTGGGAAGTGACAAGGACACCCTCCATGTCCCTCTTCCCTTCCACTTCTTCCCTCCCCATATCCCCTGTAATCATGCAGACAATAAAGGCTGGTCTCTTGGGTGCCCTGGAGAGGCTACTTCCAGTGGGGGCTACTTCCAGTGTTCTGGCATCTCCTTGTGAAAAAAGTGTTTCCAATACAATCTTGTATTTCCTTTGGAATGAAATCTTCATCCTTTTTCTAGGTCTTCTTCATTTCCCATTCCTAAAGTCCAGAAAGACAAGAAAAATCAGGTTGCTGAATATTCTAGTGTGACTTGCAGAATAAAAACATTCCACTGTACCTAATTACATAAAGATCTCCACTGGCCAGATTAGAGAGCCACGGGTCCTAGTCTCACCCTCCTTTGGTAGCCGTGGGTAAGTCCTTTCTCCACTCTGGGCCTCATCTTTATGGGTGCTCAAATATCACAAAGTTTGTCTTTCTCAGACAAGGAAACTGAGGCTAGTCTCTGCTTGGCTCTAATGCTGGGGTGGGGTGAGGTAGGAGGCTGAGGAGAGAGAAGACAAAGCAGTTTGGCAAGGAAGAGTGAAGGCAGGCAGCCCACCTGGCTCCCTTCTTTCCCCTGGAGCCATGTAGGGCTTCATCTGGGAGGGATACTGAAGTCCTGGCCAGTAGTGAATGGCTTTTTACCCACAAATGATGCATAGGGTTTTCAGCCAGCTCTGGAGGTGATGGTGTGAACCTGGGTAAAATGGGATGGCTCAAACATTCTTGCTAGGAGGATTCCCCACTCCCAACCTGCTGCTCTTCTCCCAGTCTTCACCATCTAAACTGCAGCTGCTCAGGGCAATGACTTAGGAGTCATCCTTGATTCCTTTCTCCTCCTCATCCTCCACATCCCCATCAGCAAATCCTTTGGCTTTACCTCCAAAGCCAGCCACTTCGAATCACCCCCACTATACCCTTCTCATCTCTCATCTGGATGACTCCTAACTGGTTTCCCCTCTCCCCTTATCAGCTCTCAACATTGTTCCAGAATGGTCTTTTTTTTTTTTTTTTAAGAGAGAGAGCACACGTGAGGCAGGGGGAGGGGCAGAGGGAGAGAATCTTTTTTTTTTTTTTAAAGATTTTTTTTTTTTTTAATTTGAGAGAGAGAGAATGAGAGACAGCACGAGAGGGAAGAGGGCAGAGGGAGAAGCAGACCCCCTGCTGAGCAGGGAGCCCGATGTGGGACTCCATCCAGGGACTCCAGGATCATGACCTGAGCCGAAGGCAGTCGCTTAACCAACTGAGCCACCCAGGCGCCCAAGAGGGAGAGAATCTTAAGTAGGCTCCACACCCAGCATGGAGTCTGATGCGGGGCTCGACCTCAAGACCCTGAGATCATGACCTTGAGATCACAACCTGAGCCTAAATCAAGAGTCTGACACTTAACCAACTGAGCCACACAGGCACCCCCAGAATGGTCTTTTATTTTTTATTTATTTTATTTTTTATTATTTAAATATTTATTTATTAAAAAAAATTTTTTTTTTAAGATTTTATTTGTCAGAGAGAGAGAGCACAAGCAGGGGAAGCAGCAGGCAGAGGGTGAAGCAGGCTCCCCACTGAGCAAGGAGTCCAATGTGGGGCTCCATCCCGGGACCCTGGGATCATGACCTGAGCCTAAGGCAGATGCTTAACTGACTGAGCCACCCAGGCATCCCCAGAATGGTCTTTTAAAAATGTAATTCATATCCACAGATTTTTTGCTCAAAACTTGCCAATGACTTTCCATTATGTTAGAACAAAATTCACAGTTCTTCCAATGGCCTACAAGGATCAAAGAGAAACAAACTGGCCTACAGGCCATATCTGGCAAACTGTGTGTTTTTGTAACACCCATCAACTAAGAATGGTTTTTACCTTTCTAAATGTTTGAAAACATATCAAAAGAATAATTTTTCTCGACATGTGAAAATGGTATGAAATACAAATCTCAGTGTCCATAAATAAAGTTTTATTGGGACACAGCCATGTCCATCATTTGTTTACAAGTTGTCTACTTTCCTGCTACAGTGGCAGAGCTGACTCATCCTGAAAGAAACTCTGTGGTCCACAAGCTCTCAAATATTTACCTTTATAGACAAAGTTTGCTGCTGTATAGTCTAGATGATCCAGTCTCTGGCTGGTTACTTCTCTAATCTCATGTCCTAATGCTCAGATGTTTGTTTTTCAAGTCCACGATTTCTTTCTTTCTTTTTTTTTTTTAAGATTTTATTTATTCATTTGAGAGAGAAAGAGAGAGAGAGCATGAGCAGGGTGGACGAGCAAGGGGAGAGGGAGAAGCAGGTTCCCCGCTGAGCAGGGAGCCCAAAGAAGTGCTCCATCCCAGGACGCTGGGATCATGACCTGAGCTGAAGGCAGATCCTTAACCAACTGAGCCACCCAGGTACCCCTCAAGTCCACAATTTCTTATCCCCAATTCTGAAATCCAGAAAGCCCTGAAACCAAGATTTTTCTCAAGTGTTTTGGCACAAACACAATTGGTGCAAAACCTGACCTGAACTGATGTGAGGCTGTTTATAATCTACTCCACAGGGTGTGAATATTCACGTGCCTTCTTGTAGAATTCTTAACATGTGTGCTTTCAGGGTACTTCCTGAGAAGTTTTTGGGGTTTTTCATCATATACAGTATATGTACTGTATTACCTTTCTAAAATCCCAAAAGTTCTGGAACACAGCTGGCCCCAAGAGGATCGGCCTGTGGGCCAGTATCATGGAGTGAGCCTGGGACTTTGAACCGAAAGAGGTGGGGCCGAGAACCTCTTGGTGAGGTTCTATGGAAAGGAGGCTGCCAGATCTCTGGATTTTAATTCGCTGAGCTATTGCTGTACCTTGGCTTTCTGTAGCACCCTTCCTTGGTTGGAGGTTACGATGGATGGGCTTCTCTTCCTCAGCTCAGAAATACAGTTGACAGGGAGAGGTTGCTCTGGGGCATTGTTCTGGGGTTTATTTGCAGTTTCCTGTTGATGAGGAGAAATAGTTACATAGGTGAGGCCTAATGATGGCTACCCACACCTGGCTCGCCCTCCAAAGCATGCAAATAGAAGGCGCTGTGCACACATGCCAGCACCAAACAGGGCGAGGGAGGAAGACCACTTGAGGGCCTTGGAATAAAAGTAATGATGTCTAAAATTACTGACCCCTCACATGCACCAGGCTTTGTGTGGATTAGCTCATTTAGCCTTTCCAAGCCTCTGAAGTAGGTACCATTATTAAGCATCCTATTTTGCAGATAAGGAAAATGGGAAGGTCAAGTCACTGCTCAAGGTCACACAGCTGGTGAGTGGGAGAGCTGGGATTCAAACCCCACCGCCCTCTCTCTTCACCTCTCCCCTGTATTCCTTCTCTTCTGTAGTGCCTTCACCCCTTAACTTTTCCAGATAATTGCTTAGTACGTGACTGGATGTAGTTCCTTAAGTGTGGCATATTAACGGCTAAGCCTGCAGGGAATTTAGAGAAGACTTCTCTTTATCTCCAAAGGCCAGCAAAAAGGATCACAAGTAGTGGGAAAAGCCATCTGGAATGTGAATTTCAGGGCACACTGGTGAGGAAGCAGCTGGGATGAGTGAACCACTTCTAGCTCCTTCTCCAGCCCTCTGTGGGTTTGCCTTTGTCCTTTAAGCTCTTCATCTGTAACTGAGGTTGGAAAGCCCCATGGAGAAGAAGCAGGGGGGCAGAAGGAACGGCCTAGCTTCGGAGACATCGGGTGTGGTCTGACCAGGCAATGAGGCCTCGGACAACAACAGTAAGAATGCAGTTCCCAGTGACAACTCAAATCTATCAGACAAGTTATTTCATCTCTCTGAGTCTCCATGTCCTTGTCTGAAAGCAGGCATAACTTTTATTCATTCAACAAACATTTGTTGCACTCCTAATCTGCAGACTCTGTAAAAGGCTAAGGCTATAATGATAAAACAGACATAGTCCAATTTTTAATAAAAATACAATCCAGTGGGGGAGACAGACATTAGACAAGTAAGGACACATAAATACACACACATACACACACACGTATATCCATATACACACATTTACATAAATTGTGGCTAAGTGCCATGAGAAAGAATAACACATGGGACTCTTGGTAATTTAGACCAGTGGTTCCCAAATGGGGGTGATTTTGCCCTTCCAGGGGACGTTTGGCAATTTCTGGAGACATTCCTAGTTGTCAACTGGGTGTGGAGCTACAGACATCTAGCGGGTAGAGGCTCAGAATGCTGCTAAACATCCGACAATGCACACGGCAGTCCCCTATAAAAAGAATTATTGGCCCCAAATGTCGGTAGTGCTGAGGCTGAGACACTCAGATGGAGACGGAGGTCAGCCAAGTTCTCCCTGGGCGGTTCTCAGTCGGGGTGACAGTATCTACCTTGCAGGGTTGCTTGGAGCCCTGGAGATGATGGATCTGCAAAGCTCAGAGGACGGCCTGGTACACCGGGGGCCCTAAGACAGGGCATGTGTACCATGGCTAACACCAGGCTCTGGAGTCAGACTTCCTGGATTGCGGATCCTGCCTCCTACTTAACTGAATGACCTTGAGTAAGTCCTTCAACATCTCGACCTCCGTTTCCTTGTACGTCCAGTGGTGCCAATACACCTAGCTCTACCTCCCAGGACTACCGTGAAGATCATATGAGATAACAGAAGTTAAAATGCTGTACTGACCTATGGTTATTGTTCAACACACAATTGTTATTCTTACTCAACATATCATAGTTATACTTATCAGTAACCCAAAGGCTACTTCTAGGATCACATTCAGGATAAAACGTCAGGGCTGCGGGGGGAGACAACACAGGCGGAAACTGCTCTGAGAGTCCCCTCTCTAGCAGTGCCACCTGCTCTTTGGGAGGCTCTCTTTTGGCATGTTCCCACTCCTCTTTGGGTGTTCGCTTGCTCATCTGTTAATAAGTATAATCCCTACCCCCAAAGAGTGATCATGAAGATCTATAGCTTGTGAGGGGATTAAGAAGCAGCTGTCTCTGGCCCAGAAGGGCATGGACTCACCCCACTCTTGTTCTTGCTGCCCACGGAGAGCCCCAGGGCTGGGCCCCCTGCCAGGGATCTCTGCAAGCGCTCCTTCACAGCCACCAGTCGCAGCTCCAGGTCGATCCGGCGCTCCTCCTTTGCCCGACACTGAGCTTCCAGGGCAGCCACGGCCTCCTCCAGAACCTTTAACTTTGCTCCTGTGTGTCCAGAGACATGTGTGAGAAACAGCCGAGCCTGGCCTGAAGCCTCAGGGAATTCGGCAGGACCTCAGGTTCTAGTCTGTCCCTCCCAGAGGGTTTTTCCAGCCCTTAGTTCCTACTCAGAGATGGGCTCTGGGCCTGGGGTTCCAGCTCCATGCTGGGTTGTATAGTTTTTTACCTGCTCTGTACCTATTGCCCCACCTTCTGGATATAGAACCTTGATTTTCCCCTGGGAAACCACATTCTCCTCCCATTCCCTCTAGTTTGGATGGAGCTGACCTCACTTTTAGTTCAAGGGGTTGGCATATAACTTGGACCTGGTCCATAACCTATCTCCATCTTCTGGTCACAGTGGTTGGATTAGAGATCAAAGTTGGTCCAATCAGAGTGAATCCTGAGGCTTTTGTGGGGTCCATTGGGAAGAGAAGTTTTCTCTCCTGGGGCAGCTGAGAGGATTGGCTGAGGGCTAGAGCTGTGTAGCCATTATGCCACCACGAGGGGCACAGAATGAAGCCAACGGAGGAAGGCAGAAGCCAGAATTAGAGAAATATACTTTCTGGTGATACATTTAAATCCCTGGAACTTGCTATATCTGATTGCTCAGTTTTCCAATTAAATTTTTTTCTTTCTTTTTCTTTTTTTAAAATAAGGTCTAAGCCCAATAGAGGGTTTGAACTCATGACCCTGAGGTCAAGAGTTGTATGCTCTACCAACTGAGCAAGCCAGGTATCCCTACATTTTTCTTAATGCTTTTTTTTTGGAATTTCATTTTTTTTTTAAAGATTTATTTATTTGAGAGAGAGAGAGCACAGGGGAAGGGGCAAAGGGAGAGGGAGAGAAGCAGACTCCCCACTGTGCACGAAGCCCAGTGCTAGGCTGGGCTCTGGGCTCAATCTCATGCTCTTGAAATCAGGACCTGGCTGAAATCAAGAGTACAACACTCAACTGGCTGAGCCACCCAGGTGTCCGTCTTTTCATTTCTAAGCTAGTTTCACTTTGGTTTCTCTTAATTGTAACTGAGTTATAATCCCCTACTGGGATTTTCTGCTTTTTAATCTAAACTAACAAACCTGTATTAATATCTTCTCATGCCAAGAGTTGTGTTAGGTCTTACCAGGTTTAAAAGTTAGTTTCATTCATTCATTCACTCATTCATTCTATTCAGTAAATACTTATTGGGTGCTTAGTGCTTACTTTGTACCAGGTGCTGTTACAAAACAGGCCAAGACACTAAATTCATATCTTTCGGTGGTTACCCTGAATGTAAATGGGCTAAATGCCCCAATCAAAAGACCTAGGGTATCAGATTGGATAAAAAAACAAGACCCATTGATATGCTGTCTGCAAGAGACTCATTTTAGACCCAAAGACACCTCCAGATTTAAAGTGAGGGGGTGGAAAACCATTTACCATGTTAATGGACATCAAAAGAAAGCTGGGGTGGCAATCCTTATATCAGACAAATTAGATTTTAAACCAAAGACTATAATAAGAGATGAGGAAGGACACTATATCATACTTAAAGGGTCTATCCAACAAGAAGATCTAATAATTTTAAATATTTATGCCCCTAACGTGGGAGCAGCCAATTATATAAGCCAATTAATAACAAAATCAAAGAAACACATTGACAATAATACAATAATAGTAGGGGACTTTAACACCCCCCTCACTGAAATGGACAGATCATCTAAGCAAAAGATCAACAAGGAAATAAAGGCTTTAAATGACACACTGGACCAAATGGACTTCACAGATATATTCAGAACATTCCATCCCAAAGCAACAGAATACACATTCTTCTCTAGTGCACATGGAACATTCTCCAGAATAGATCACAGCCTGGGTCACAAATCAGGTCTCAACGGGTACCAAAAGATTGGGATCATTTCCTGCCTATTTTCAGACCACAATGCTTTGAAACTAGAACTCAATCACAAGAGGAAAGTCGGAAAGAACTCAAATACATGGAGGCTAAAGAGCATCCTACTAAAGAATGAATAGGTCAACCAGGAAATTAAAGAAGAATTAAAAAAATTCATGGAAACAAATGAAAATGAAAACACAACTGTTCAAAATCTTTGGGAGGCAGCAAAGGCAGTCCTAAGAGGAAAGTATATAGCAATACAAGCCTTTCTCAAGAAACAAGAAAGGTCTCAAATACACAACCTAACCCTACACCTAAAGGAGCTGGAGAAAGACAAGCAAATAAAGCCTAAACCCAGCAGGAAAAGAGAAATAATAAAGATCAGAGCAGAAATCAATGAAATAGAAACCAAAAGAACAGTAGAACAGATCAATGAAACTAGGAGCTGGTTCTTTGAAAGAATTAACAAGATTGATAAACACCTGGCCAGACTTATCAAAAAGAAAAGAGAAATGACCCAAATAAATAAAATCATAAATGAAATAGGAGAGATAACAACCAACACCAAAGAAATATAAACAATTTTAAGAACATATAATGAGCAACTATATGCTAGCAAATTAGACAATCTGGAAGAAATGGATGCATTCGTAGAGATGTAAAAACTACCAAAACTGAACCAGGAAGAAATGGAAAACCTAAACAGACCCATAACCAGTAAGGAAATTGAAGCAGTAATCAAAAATCTCCCAACAAACAAGAGCCCAGGCCCAGATGGTTTTCCAGGGGAATTCTACCAAACATTTAAAGAATAATTTAATACCTATTCTTCTGAAATTGTTCCAAAAAATAGAAATGGAAGGAAAACTTCCAAACTCATTTTATGAGGCCAGCATTACCTTGATCCCAAAACCAGACAAGGACCCCATCGAAAAGGAGAATTACAGACCAATATCCCTGATGAACATGGATGCAAAAATTCTCACCAAAATACTAGCCAGTAGGATCCAACAGTACATTAAAAGGATTATTCACCACGACCAAGTGGGATTTATTCCTGGGCTGCAAGTTTGGTTCAACATCCACAAATCAATCGATGTGATACACTACATTAATAAAAGAAAGAACAAGAACCATATGATATTCTCAGTAGATGCAGAAAAAGCATTTGACAAAGTACAGCATCCTTTCTTGATTAAAACTCTTCAGAGTGTAGGGATTGAGGGTACATACCTCAGTATCATAAAAGCTATCTATGAAAAACCTACAGCGAATATCATTCTCAATGGGGAAAAACTGAGAGCTTTCCCCCTAAGGTCAGGAACACGGCAGGGATGTCCACTATCACCACTGCTATTCAACATAGTACTAGAAGTCCTAGCCTCAGCAATCAGACAACAAAAAGAAATAAAAGGCATCCTAATCGGCAGAGAAGAAGTCAAACTCTCACTCTTTGCAGATGATATGATACTTTATGTGGAAAACCCAAAAGACTACACCCCAAAACTGCTAGAACTCATACAGGAATTCAGTAAAGTCACAGGATATAAAATCAATGCACAGAAATCAGTGGCATTTCTATACACCAACAACAAGACAGAAGAAAGAGAAATTAAGGAGTCGATCCCATTTACAATTGCACCCAAAACCATAAGATACCTAGGAATAAATCTAACCAAAGAGGCACAGAATCTGTACTCAGAAAACTATAGAATATTCATGAAGGAAATTCAGGAAGACACAAAGAAAAAGAAAAACATTCCATGCTCATGGATTGGAAGAACAAATATTGTGAAGATGTCAATGCTACCTAGAGCAATCTACACATTTAATGCAATCCCTATCAAAATACCATCAACTTTTTTCAAAGAAATGAAACAAATAATCCTAAAATTTGTATGGAACCAGAAAAGACCCCGAATAGCCAGAGGAATGTTGCAAAAGAACAGCAAAGCTGATGGCATCACACTTCCGGACTTCAAGCTCTATTACGAAGCTGCAGTCATCAAGACAGTATGGTACTGGCACAAAAACAGACACATAGATCAATGGAACAGAAGAGAGAGCCCAGAAATGGACCCCAACTCTATGGTCAACTAATCTTCGACAAAGCAGTAAAGAATGTCCAATGGAGAAAAGACAGTCTCTTCAACAAATGGTGTTGGGAAAATTGGACAGCCACATGCAGAAGAATGAAACTGGACCATTTCCTTACACCACACACAAAAACAGACTCAAATGGATGAAAGGCCTAAATATGAGACAGGGGTCCATCAAAATTCTTGAGGAGAACACAGGCAGCAACCTCTTCGACCTCAGCTGCAGCAACTTCTTCCTAGAAACGTCGCCAAAGGCAAGGGAAGCAAGGGCAAAAATGAACTTTTGGGACTTCATCAAGATAAAAAGCTTTTGCACAGCAAAGGAAAAAGTCAACAAAACCAAAAGACAACCGAGAGAATGGGAGAAGATATTTGCAAATGACATATCAGATAAAAGGCTAGTATCCAAAATCTATAAAGAACTTACCAAACTCAACACCCAAAGAACAACTAATCCAATCAAGAAATGGGCAGAAGACATGAACAGACATTCTGCAAAGAAGACATCCAAATGGCCCACAGACACATGAAAAAGGGCTCAGCATTGCTCAGCATCAGGGAAATCCAATCAAAACCTCAATGAGATGCCACTTCACACCAGTCAGAATGGCTAAAATTAACAAGTCAGGAAACGACAGATGTTGGCGAGGATGCAGAGAAAGGGGAACCCTCCTACACTGTTGGTGGGAATGCAAGCTGGTGCAGCCACTCTGGAAAACAGTATGGAGTTTCCTCAAAAAGTTGAAAATAGAGCTACCCTACGACCCAGCAATTGGACTACTGGGTATTTACCCCAAAGATACAAATGTAGTGATCCGAAGGGGTACGTGCACCCCAATGTTTATAGCAGCAATGTCCACAATAGCCAAACTACGTAAAGAGCTTAGATGTCCATCGACAGATGAATGGATAAAGGAGATGTGGTGTATATATACACAACAGAATATTAGACAGCCATAAAAAAATGAAATCTTGCCATTTGCAATGATGTGGATGGAACTAGAGGGTATTATGCTAAGCGAAATAAGTCAATCAGAGAAAGACAATTATCATATGATCTCACTGATATGTGGAATTTGAGAAACAAGACAGAGGATCACAGGGGAAGGGAGGGAAAAATGGAACAAGATGAAACCAGAGAGGGAGAGAAACCATAAGAGACTCTTAATTTCAGGAAACAAACTGAGGGTTGCTGGAGAGAAAGGGGGTGGGAGGGATGGGGTGGCTGGGTGATGGATATTGGGGAGGGTATGTGCTATGGTGAGCGCTGTGAATTGTGTAAGACTGATGAATCACAGACCTGTACCTCTGAAACGAATAATACATTATATATTATTAAAAACAACAACAACAAAAAAAAAAACAGGCCAAGATCCTTGCCCTTATGGAGCTCATATGTGTGTGTGTGTGCGTGTGTGTGTATGTGTGTGTATGAGAGAGAGAAAAAACGATAAATAAAAATGATAAACATAATAAATAATCCAGTGTTACAAAGTGATGTGCTACAGAAAAAAATTGAGCAGGATAAGGAGGATAGTCAGCCTGTTCCAAACCCTGTTTTGACTCTTAGAAAGTTCTGTGTATTGAGGCCAAACTGCCTTCTTTTTTTTTTTCTCTTAATGCTTCCCTCCCACAGATTCTGGTTCTTGGCTACACAGAAAAAGCCTTACCCTTTAAGGTAGAAGTTCTCTGTTAGGTGTATGGATTCCCAGGCGATCTATGGCTGAGCTCTGGGGCACATGAGCTCTTGGTTACTGAAACTGTCTGTGACATTGCGAACTGCGGGTTTTTTTTCACCTTGGGAAAAGGGTCCATAGGTTCCTTCGGACTCTCACCGGGCTGTGTGACCTTGGATGTATTTTATAAAGAACAAGGCTTCTGTTCCCTCAAACCTGTGTGCAAACTTCACGCTGAAAGTATGCCAAACTACAGCTATAGAGAGAATTCAAAGGAAAGAGCAGAAGGTGGGGTGCAGAGGAGCCCAGAGCAGGCTGGGCCTGCAAGGAGTCATGGCCCTGGATTTTGGGAGAGGATCCTGGGACTGTGTCTGTCCATCATTCCCCAGCACGGGGACCAGTGTCTCACACGGTTGGGTGCTCAGCCCTTCCGTGAATGAGTGACTTACTGGGAGGTTCAAAATGATATCTCTTATTTCCTTGATTCTAAGGCACACTCATTTTAACATTTCTAAAATCAGATTGAATTTTACTACATTAAGTGTACACTTTTTTGTGATGCCTTTTTATCCCCTTACCCAAAAGCAGTTATTAGATTGAGGGCACTTTCATTAGTCAGGAAGGATGATGATGATGATGTTGAGGAACAGGAGAAGGAGGAGAAGGAGGAGAAGGAGGAGAAGGAGGAGAAGGAGGAGGAAGAAGGGGAGGAGAAATGCACTGTCCTGGATAACCAGCTGACCTCTGCCACGGGAGGTGTCAGAGCTGAGCCCGGTCCCCGCTTGAGTGCCCAGGACATGCCCACGTAGGTACCTGGGTTGTTGCGAATGGCTTCCTTCAGCTCCCTCTTCTCCTGCCTCAGTGCCATCAGCTCCGTCCGGATTGTCTCCTTCTCTTTTTCCAGCTTCTCTTTTTCTACCAGGTACCTCCGGGCATCTTCCTCAGCTCGGTTCTTGCCGTACTTGTATTGATTGGCACCTGCAGAAGTAGAAGGCAGGCAAAGGCCCCCATTTCTGATCTCTGGTAAGGGTACTTGGAGGGGCCTTAGCGTCTTTCTCAGCCTCAACTTCTCCATCTATAAAATGGGAATACTTAGATCTATATCCTTAGTGTGTGAAACCTCCAAGGAAACAGGAGCAAAAGGGAGGCAGCAGAGCACAGGGACTAGGAACAAGGGCTTTGGAATGAGGCAGACCAAGGTTTGTGTTCTCTTTCCCCCTTTACTAGTTGTGTGACATCAGGCAACAGTGAACTGCACTGTTTCTGTGCCTTTCCCCCAGGTCTTGGTTTCCTCATTTGTAAATGTGGGACCATTGATCAAACTTACCTCTTAGCATAGTGGTAAGTTTTTTTAAAATTTTTTAAAAGATTTTATCCATTTATCCGAGAGAAAGAGCACAGAGGGAGAGTGAGAGGGAGAAGTAGACTCCCTGCTGAGCAGGGAGCCCGATGCAGGACTTAGTCCCAGGACCCTGGGATCATGACCTGAGCTGAAGGCAGCCGTTGTAACCGACTGAGCCACCCAGGCGCCCCAGCATTGTGGTAAGTTTTAAATGAAAGAATTGATGAAAAATACTTGATACGGTATCTGGTGGAAGTGCTTAGTAAATGTCAGATAATGATATGAAACAAATTTTGTGATGTATAACACACTTTAGTTTTAAAAGGGCATTTTACAGTCAACTCTCAGGTATATATAAGACAAGGAGACAGGGACATACAACTCAGAGCTGCAGAGAATCAAGACCTTGGGTCAGGTATTGCCTGCTTTATTCCTGGAAAATGGGTTGGAGGAGAGAAGGGCCCAGAAGTCTGTTGCAGGTTCTACATTATGGTGGACAATTACAAATAATTATGGCAAAAATTTATCAAGCATTTACTATAAGCTAGGCCATTTATATTCATTTCCACTTAATCTTCATAAAACTTACTAATATTAGCTCTGAGGCACAGAGAGCTCGGGTCTCACTGCTAATGATGGCAGAGCCCAGGTTGAGCCCATATGTGTCTAACTCTGGGCTCTGTGCCATGCATTATGGCCCTAGCTGGGGCAATGCCATGGTCCAACGTTTCAGGGAAGTTTTTATTTATTTATTTTTTTCAGACAGTCACTCATAGACCTTTTAAGCTGGTGGGGTGTGGCGTTTGGAATGATTCCCTTGGTTTACCCCCATTTATGGGGTCTTGTCTCTCTAATTCTCATAGGGATGGCAGTGGCCACCCAGTGATGCATGCAAAAATCAATTCCTGTCCCAACTACCCTGCAGTTCAAGCCTGATCATAATAAATAAAGCATGGAGGGCAGAGAAGGGGCCCCATACTTCCCCCAACTACCCAGATACACAGTAGCATCCCAGGGCAGTTTTCTCCCAGAAGTTTCGATTTTATAGACTGGTAAACTAAAAATAAATGGGTAGACCAGCAAAGTGTTGTCAGTGTTATATTTATCAGATAAGGACCTTAAAACCCCCAACCACCATCTGTGATTCCCAGTATTTTATATCTCTTTTATACATCACTCAATATAATATTTGATTTGAAGAAAGAATCTATTGTGTTATCTTTGTTGTTGTTGTTTGAATGCTTTATGGTTTCTTTAATCTTACATGTTTATTTCAGTTCACTTTTCCATTTAATTTTTTAATTTTAATTTTTGGAGAGAGAGTGAGCGAGCACGAGCATGAGTTGGGGGTGCAGAGAGGGAGAAAGAATCATAAGCAGACCCCATGCTCAGCGCAGAGCTCAATGTGGGGCTCGATTTCAGACCCTGAGATCGCAACCTGAGCCAAAATCAAGAGTCAGATGCTTAACCGACTGAGCGACCCAGGCACCCCTACTTTTCCATTTGAAAATGGGCATTCCATAAAGGCCTGTATTTCCGGTGGTGCCGATGAGAGCAGAGTGTAAGGAATGTGACACAACCACCCTCTGACTGTGCAGGGGGCACACTCAGGCCCAGAGAAGGGAAGGGACTTTTCCAAAGTTACGTAGTAATTTAGTGATCAAGTGGGAAAAGGAATACAGGTCTCCTGACCCCCAGAAGAGATTATCTACATTAATGAAGTGGAGATCTAATAAAGAAAAGTACTTTAAAAGATAAATCTTCAAAAAGCAAGGAATAGAACTTGACTTTGTTTGTACAGTTCTTCGTTGAAGAACTGTAAAGCAAAAACTAAAAGGCTCTTGGAATATGCTGTCCTACAGGAAGCCAGCCGGCTCGTGAATCACGTGTAGGAGCAGAGACTAGTGTCGGAAATCAAACAGAATTGACCAGAGTCTGGCATGCTTAGCCTTTATTGCGTAGTGTGGCAATCAGGCAAAATTCACTCAGCTCCTATATGGGGTGCTAGGGAGAGCGCGGGCTGGGACACAGAGGTGAGCCATGCCCTTCACGGCAGCTGCCTTGAGGGTATTTGGAGGGGTTCGTTTCTCCACTTGCTCCCCCAGATCAGAATTTATTAATGTTTTTAGCCTTTGGAACAGACAGAAGTTGAGGGTGAATTTTTTATGTGTATATATGTGTATCCATATATATGCAACATCGCAGCATAAAAACGTATTTGGCCTTCGTGTTAAAATTTTTGAAAAGTAGTTGCTAGTATTAAGAAGTCAGTAGATTTCCTATAAAGGCTAGATTTCTGGTCTCGAATAATCTGTGAACCTGGGCTGCCAGGTTCCGTGGGAGCCACTGGCTGAAGCTGAGTAGTAGCCGCCTCTCTAGGTGGAGGCTGAGCACTCCAGGTTCCCACAGTCTTCCCCCCACCCCATTCCCTGTTGTTCCCCCTCGGAGGCCACAGCCTAGCTGCCCTTTAGCTCTTGGCTTGTGCTGTCATTTTTCTTACGGTAGAGTATTTTCTTACATCTCGCTTCACTCCTTAATTTACTTGCCCACTGCCTGGAGGAATCTGATTTGAGATCCCCAACCCCGTGGATTGTTTCTTTCCCTTCCTCGGTCCCACCCAGAACTCACTGGAGGCATGGCGCTTGACTTTGACCTGCGGATCCACTCGATGGGACTTCTCACTGCAGGAGGAGGCATGGCGTTTCACCTGGGCCCCCGCGGGACGCTCGGGCTCCTCGTCCTGCGGGAGATGGAGAAAGGAGGTGAAGGACAGGTAGGCTCAGAGCCCTCCAGGCAGGGTTGTATTCTGCTCCAAGTGTGGTGGGTGAGCATTGCAGGACCTCTGAGATTGTGGCCTTACGTTTTTAGACTGGGGCTGCACTCAACACTTTATAGACTACTTCTACTAGCGTGTATCATTTGATCCTCATACCTTCCTGTTGGGGGCTGCAGAAGGCATCCCTAAACTGGAATATCTGCTGAGAGGAAAATTTGGAAGTCTCAGAGGGCTGTGGGTGACCATATTTGATTTATCATAGCTATTTCTGTCTTCACATCATTTGGAAGTGTCCTTCAAATTTTCTAAAATTGCTAAATGTAGAGCTTCCAGTTAAGATAAAAAGTCGTGGATGACATCAGCCAATGGTGGAAGTTCATAACTTAATAAACTGGCTCTACATTTTGAAAAAAGATTTTATTTATTTATTTGAGAGAGAGAGGGGAGAGTGTGCGAGCAGGGGGAGAGGCAGAGGGAGAGGCAGAGGGAGAGGGAGAGGGAGAAGCAGGCTCCCCGCTGAGCAAGGAGCCAGACATTCCAGTGCGACCCCAGGACCCTGAGATCATGATGTGAGCTGAAGGCAGATGCTTAACTGACTGAGCCACCCAGGCGCCGCTAAACTGGCTATACATTTGTGCATGAAGAGTATTAAGAACACCCAGAATCCAGTCAGAGCTCAGGGAACCATGAATGGAATATGATAATAATGTAATATAATAATGATATTGATAACAATAGTACTATTTACTCCATGTGAGAGCTTCTGATGTCTACATGCTGCTAAGCTCTTTCCATACAGTATTTCATTTAGTTCTTGCAGTGATCCAATCAGGTAGGTTTTATAGTATTCGTCTGGAGCCGGGAAATGAGGACTAGAGAAGTGAAGCCCAAGGTAACCCAGATTCAGCCCTGAATTCAAAGTTCATGCCGTTAGGTACTAAGCTATCTGGCTACTAATCACTGCAACTGAGAAAGATCTCAAGCTGCATCCACTGGTTCATCTGAATCTGAAGAAAGACCATATAAGCAGAAGAAGGATGGAGAAGTTTCTAGGAAAGGGAGTCTTAGAGGTGGGAGCTCGGTGTCATCCAGCACTGTCCAAGGCAGGGGTCTGGCGTGCAGACATGTCTGCTTTCTTTGGCAGCTTGATCCCCTCTTTTTCTCTCCCCCAGCTGTGAGGCCTGACGCACCCACCAGGGTCTGATCAGAATGTGGCTGTCTGGCTCTCCCGTGGGAGGAAGAGACGTAGGACACGCTGCCGGAAGCAGTCTGTTCATGTGATGGCTACCGAGGCCTCACTGGCCTCTCCTTGATTTAGTGAACAAGACAGGGAGACTCTGCCTTGGGAGTTGAGGCCCGGACCGTGACGCCACCAGGTGAAGGTCTACGGAGTGGCTGCCCCCCACGCACCACTGAGTCAGCAGCATCAGCTCACAGAGCAGTGAACCGGTGGAGGGACCAACACCTTGCTCAGACCGGTGTAGTGCTTTGCAGTATACAGAGTCCTCTCCCTTCCTGATCTAGGGGCTTGTTGCTGTACTACCCTGCCTCCTCTCCCGGGGATTCCTTACCCAGAGCCGTGATCTATGATGAGAAGGGTCCTCCCTCCCCTTCCCGCTGCTGCTTAAATGGAAATTATCCCTGACGTGCAGGAAAAAAGGAGTGGTGACAGAGAGAAAGAGGAAGAGCTAAATCAGTGGCCTTTGCCACATTCCCAGCCCTCCCAAGGGAGCGCACCTGTATCTTTTCATAGGGAACATCATCGTATACACGGGGCTCAGGCCATTGATCCTGGCAGGATCTTGCATATCTAGAAAATATAAGGTGTCATGATGATGGCAATGATGATGACACTTTGTGGCTTATAGAGCTTTCCTGTCTACTCTCATTTGATTCTGTGATGGGTGTTGGAAGGTTAGTAACAGCAACCACGCCAGGCAGCGCTGGGCCATTGCTGTGTTAAGGACTTCAGAGGCAGGGAGCCCCATGATTCTCACAGCAACCTGAGAGGTCAGTAATTCATCCCCTCCATTCTATACGCGAGGACACAGAGGATCCAAGCTGGCAAGCCACCACCCCAAGCTGTTGGTCGTGAGAGCCGTGACTTGAACCCAGCTCTTCCAGTGCATGGACCAGCCCTGATGGCCAAGGGTGTGAGACCCTGAGTTCCATGGCGTGAGAGCCCAGCCCCAGTCACTACGCAGAAGGACTTCTGTTCCTTTGCTCATTGCATCCACAGCTTCCCCCAACCCTGGGCTACCTCCGTTAGCCAGCTCGCTCCTGCCTGCTGGGGGAGGAAGGCACCCACTCTGACTTCCCAAGGAAGCAGAGCCCTCCTCGGCTCCTCCTCCCTCCCCTCCCAGCGCCCATGGCCAGACTCAGAGGCTCTGAGAGGCTGCCGGGGGGCGGGGGGGCTGGGAGGTGCTGGCCCTCACAGGAAGGAGTTGCGCCCTGCACTGACGATGCTGGTTAAGGTCTCCACGTCCACGTAGTCATAGTGCAGTGCCTCGGGAGTGACTTTGGAACCCATCTCCACCAACAGCAGCCCAAGCCAGCGGCCCATGTCCTCTGAGCAGTTTGCCTGAGGGAGAGGAGGCACAGGCTGATGAGTTCACTTTGGTACTGTTAGGGCCTCAGGCTACCTGCTCACTTTAGCCAAACCCATATTTGTAAAGTACCTGCTATGTACCCAATACTTAGGGGTCCAAGAGGAACAGGGCTGCAACACCCACCCAGAAATCCAAGTGGCTTCCACCCTTTCTTTATTCAGGTTTTGGCTCTAATGCTCCTCTTCGGAGAAGCCCTCCCTGACCACCTCTCTAAGACACACACCCTCACTCACTATCCTCAGAGTCTTCATGACCATTTAGAGGCAAAAACGACATTTGGATTTCCCTGAATTAAAAAAAAAAAATTACTTTTTTATTAGAGGAGACTATTTCTCACATAACCCAATCGAAATTTTCCCCTTATAACTGCCAATTATTTGTAGTACTAGTGTACAGGAAAACTGCCAAGAGTTGCTGGTTAACTGAACCCATAGTTCTCGGTAGTTCTCATTTAAAGAGCATTCTTATAAAATCAGCTGAGCACACAAATGTTAGACTTGAATAAAGAAAGCACACTTCTCGCCAGAAAGCTTTGTGTTTAATTTAAGAGAAATAAGAGGCCCTTCTCAACCTTTCAAAAATAAAAGTGAGTGACCAGAGCAATATTTCTTGAAATTTAAGAACTGGGTGAGGCAGTGGGTACTGGGCAAAGCAAACAAGATCAAGAGGCTGGGTTTTTGTTCTAGGATCAGGCCAAGAGGCCTCTGACCCCCCTTGGAGCCTTGGACAAAGCACCTGGCTGCCCTGGCCTCAGTTACCCTGTTTGTAATATGAGGGGGTAGTTCTTGAACTTTCCCTCCAGTGTTTACATTGTAAATCCTAAAAAGCCAAATGAGGGACATGTAGAGGAGAGGCTCCATGCATTGTGCAGGACCTCAGAAAGGAGGGCTAGTGCCACTGGGTAGGAACAACCATGAATGGGTGGGATGAAATCACATTTTCATTCAGCCATTTGTTCAACAAATAGTAATTGAGCCTTTAATATGGGCTGGGCATCATGCTGGGTTCTGGAAAAACCAAAAATATGCAGAACAGGCATGGTTACTGCCTTCACGGAGCTTAAAGATTTCAACTCAGTGTGGAGAACACCTTTCTAAAAATGTAGCTGCTTCATGGGAGGGGCAGGCTGCCTTGAAGAGCAGTGGTTGATCTGAGGCAGCCGGCCACTGGTGGGAAGGTTTTAGAGGGGATTCCAGAATCAGATCCAGGTTAGATCAGACTAGATGCCTTTCAGGCTTAGGATTTTAAGATAGGGGAGAATAAACAAACTTCGGTTCTAGGGTTGCCAGATTTAACAAATAAAAATGCAGAATGCTCTGTTAAATTCGACTTTCAGATAAACAACAAATACTTTTTCAGTATAGGTATATACCAAATATCACATGGGATATACTTGCATTAAAACCATTTGTCGTTTATCTGAAATTCCAATTTAAGTGGGTGTCCTGTATTTTCACTGGCAGTCATTCTCGGTCATTTGGCAGCAGGTGGGCTTACTTTCCCTTTTTCCTCAGTCCCTGTAATGTCAGTTAGCAAGGCCCCCAAGACAAAAGCCCACACCCAGGCCAAACCTCCTCTCAGCTGCCACCACCAAGAACCACCTGGATTCTCTCCTCTCACCTCCAAGATGGCAACCTCCTGCCGGTTGCGCAGAATCCTGAAGGCAAATGGATGTCTGGGCCCAAAGCCTGGGGCCACCTCACAGCCACGGAGAGCAATGGCATTCACATGGGTCCGCAGGTCTGTGTGATCCTTGTGGAAGTACAGAGTGTTGCATTTCAGGAGGCACCAGCGTTCCTTCCAGCCCTGGTTCACCAGCACATTCAGATAGCCTGGGAGGGGGAGACCAGCGGGGTGACCTCCTGACAGCCTGGCCCTGGGGAAACCCAAGGTGGGGGCTGTGAGTCTGCATGGGTCTACACCCTGGGGACAAGCGCCTGGACAACCCTCGTTCTCTAGCTGGAAAGAGGCCTTGTGGGTCCTGGATCAGCTCACTCTCTCTGGGCCTGTGGCCTCTGGCACCGTCTTCTCCTTGAGTTTCATTTCCTTATCTGAAATGGGGACTGATGATCACATTCATATACTGATACCCAGCCTTTGTACCATACCTAGCTTGGTGAAAAGGGCAGGGGACTACTGTAGAGGTGAGTAAAAGACACAACTATTATCCCTTTTGCTTTTCCTCCTCCCGAAATATCAGAACTATTAGTGAGACAGAAAATAATGGGTGATGCTGACACCTGGTGGCAGCATGTGGGAACAAAAGTGTCTAGCCAAGAGAAAGAATTCTAAAATGAGCAAGGCACAGACTGATGACCAATGGGTTTAGAATTCACTCTCAACATTTTAGATTTAAATAATTTTTTCCCACAACATGCCCTGATTTACTGGTTACAAAATAATTATTTATAGCCATGTGATTTTATACTATTTTTTCAGGTTTAAGGGAATATTACTGCATATCCAAAATACAGAATTTTCTGGGGTGCCTGGGTGGCTCAGTCGTTAAGCGTCTGCCGTCAGCTCAGGTCATGATCCCAGGGTCCTGGGATCGAGCCCCGCATCGGGCTCCCTGCTCGGCGGGAAGCCTGCTTCTCCCTCTCCCACTCCCCCTGCTTGTGCTCCTGCTCTCGCTCTCTCTCTCTGTCAAATAAATAAATAAAATCTTAAACAAAACAAAACAAAAACAAAACAAAAAAACCCCAACAAAATACAGAATTTTCTATTGGAGTCCAGTACATGGAACACTGCATTAATGAAAACAGAATAATATATCTTCCCTTCCAAACCATGTTAAACTCACATTGAAGGCATTTATAACCATGTTTAACTCACGCTGAATGCATTTGTAAGTACTTAAATATTTTTATCCATTTCCTTATAAGACTGGGTTGTAACTTACACACCTGGCATGTTATGTGCTGGGAGGAAATAAGACACTCTCCTCCCATCATAGTGGAGGAAACTGAGGCCCACAGACGGGCAGTGATTGGAGCTGAGGTCGCAGGGAACACAGAGATAGGGGAGTCAGGTGGCTTTTCCTTTTCCTGAGTGTTAGGGCCTCACCGGAGAGAAGTGATGTAAAGGCATGGATTGTTGATGGAGTGGGGGTTAGGTAGGATTCTCTCCTCTGCCCTGGGAGCAAGGTGGAAGAGGCCTAGAGGGTTTTCTGGCTTAGCCCAGGGGCGCACAGCAGCAGGGTCTGACTCTCCTCCTCCCGGTGCCCAGGACCCACCACAGCATGGAACCTCCTCGTCGGGGCAGGATGTCTGCAGGTCATCAGCCAGCGGCTTCTTCTTGGAGAAGCTGATGATGCGGGTGATCTTGCGGCCCGCAGCCCTGCTCATTGAACCCTTCAGCTCTGCCAGACTGCTCTTCTTCCCTTTGCCTGTTGCCATGGAGATGGATTAGGGGAAGGGAGGGAGCCCCAAGTCCCAGACCCACCCACACCAGCCTTCCCAACGGCCCTTTCAGCCTGCGCCTGGGGCCTGGCTGCAACTGCAGGTGTGGACAGGCCAGGTGAACTTCCCCAGATCTCCAGAGCCGTCAGGACCTGCTCTGCACCGTATCCCTGTGCAAGGCCCCTCCCAGCTGTGGCATTCTCCGGCCTGAGTCCCCAGAGGCTCCTACCGTGGTCGCAGGCCTCCCGGCGGCCTAGAGTAGAACAGCTGTTACCCACGCCCAGGCTGTCCGAGTCTGAGGTCTGCTTCTCCTGGGACAGTCTCTGGGGGGGGGGGGGGGACACACAGAGAGCCCCATGTCAGAGGGCACACTCAGAAGTCCCCCTTTGTTGGTTCAATTCCCCCAACCTCTGCACACGATGATTGCCTAACAAATATTTGTCTGCACCTCTCCTGTGCCTGACACTATTCTAGGTTTGGGGGAGACAGGCTGACTTAGGACGGTTGTACCTTTGAATCTCTCATCGTCCGTTTGGGGAGCCAGGCACCTAGTTGCAACGCATTGTAATAAATTCCTAGGATGTCCCATATTCGGTAGGTGACAGGGTCTGGGAAGGTACTTAAATAGGATTCTAATGTAATGCAGCTGGTTTAGGAAGTGACCTCTGGTGGCATCGTGGGGACAGACTATCAGCCAAAGGGCCACATTAGAGAGTGTCATCCAGGGCAAGGTAGTAAAGGAAGGAGCTAAGATGACAAGATGTAGAAAAAGGGAAGAGTTGGCGTGTCCAAAATAGTTACGGCAGGACTTGGTGACCAGGAAATGTGAACAGTGACAACAGAGGGGTCTTCATGGTCCTGACTCGGGTAGGAGGGTGGTGAAGACATGCACACACACCATAGCAGCAACTCCATCGTAACCAACAGAACTTTACTCGTATGCTGACTCCGGACCCATCGCTCGTCCGTCCGTCTGTTCATTCAGTCATCCAGACAAGGTCAGTTAAGTGCCTAGTAGGTACTATGGAGGTGGCGAGGCAGAGTCAGATGGACCTTCGAAGTTCTGTCCCTGGTACCACCTGTTAGTCATGGGAACCTGGGAAAATCCTTTCCTCACCCCAAGTTTTCTCGCCTGAATCACATCCTTTTCCAGGGAGCCAACAGATGGTATCATCTCTCCCACCTGCATGGTATCATCTCTCCCACCTGCTACCTCGCTTTAAAAAGCTAAATGGTGCCAGTCAGACTTGGGACAGGATTAAAGTGGTACCAACCCACTTAAAAAGTAGTAGAACAGGCTCTGAGGCCTCTCCACCCTTCCTGCCAAGGACTTCCCAGACCAGGCTCAGGGATGCTTTGCTATAAGCACAGAACTTGGGGGCCTGGAGAGACAAGAGAGGCCTTGGGCTTCCCTCAATTTCCAAAGGCTGGAAACATGGCAACTGTCAGAATTGGGAGAGATCTGTTGAAAGTATAAAGGATCTCCCCTGTAAATTGGGAAACAACGTATGGTTCTATTTGCCCTGCAATGGTATACGGATGGTAGGTATTTCTTTCTTTCTTTTTTAAAAGATTTTATTTATTTATTTTGACAGAGAGAGACATAGCAAGAGAGGGAGCACAAGCAGGGGGAGCGAGAGAGGGAGAAGCAGGCTCTCCGCTGAACACAGGCGCCATCTTCCCTCCCCCTCCCCCATTGCCCCTCCAGCCAGTGTGAACCCCTGTCCCCTTCACTGCAGTTGGAAAGGTCCTAGAAAGGACCACTCTAATAGGCCAAACGAGCCCCCTTCTTTTTTTTTTTAAAGATTTTATTTATTTATTTATTTGAGAGAGAGAGAATGAGAGAGAGCACATGAGAGGGGGGAGGGCCAGAGGGAGAAGCAGGCTCCCCGCCGAGCAGGGAGCCCGATGCGGGACTCGATCCAGGGACTCCAGGATCATGACCTGAGCCCAAGGCAGTCGCTTAACCAACTGAACCACCCAGGCGCCCCAAACGAGCCCCTTTCTGTCTGAATCCAGCCACACTGGCCACCTTCCATTTGCTTCCCCCTGCTCTGGGGCCTGCTCCCTCAGCTTGGAATGCCCTTTCTGTCCCCCTCCTTTCTAGTTGTTCACCCTCATCATAAATGTGCTCTCTCAGAGAAACTTCCCTGACACCTAAGACAAGAGCAGGCCCCTGGCAGACGCTCCCAGGGTACCTGGTGCGTTTCCCTCCCAGCGCTCACACAGCTGGGCTTTTGTGTCAGAACCCCCCCCCCCCAGGGGGGTGTGCAGGGTGGGTGTGAACTACTGTTAGCTTTGCACCTGCGTGCTCAGCACAATGCCTGGGGCACGGGGCTCGGCAAGCAGAGCTCAGCTCGGCCCCCTTGAGATGGGGGGCAAAGTCATCAAGAGCCAGGTGTCTAGGTATACAACCTTGCTCTGCTTCTTATTAACTATGGGACTCGGGGTTAGCCTCTCTGTGTCCCAGCTTCCTCATCTGAAAACGGAACTCGTCAAAGAGCTGTCATAAAAATGAAAGTAGGTAATACGTGTAAAGCCTACCAGACGTTGCTGGCCACACAGTCATATTCTAGAAACATTAACCTTTATTACGTCATGCAAGACTCATGTGTGTAGGTTGGGGGCTGACTCCCTTGATCACCCACTGGCACCCGGCAAAGCGGCTGCCTGAGCAACTACCAAGTGTCCACTTCACTCCCGTCCCAGTGGGGTACACTCCCCTGACAGCTTCCAATTTGCTTTTCATGGATCCGTTCAACTGTGACCTCCTCCTGTCCTGGCGGGGCTAGTCACTCCCTCCTCGGGCTCACACTGCGCCTTGGACGTGGGTATTCATTCATTCATGCTTGCATTCATTCAGGAGACACAGACCGAGCGCCGACTTGTGCCAACTCCAAGCGGGGCACTCATGGCTTGTCTGAGGCAGGTGCCTGGCTTCACCACCGGCCCGTGGTTCCCCCCGGGGCGGAGCCTGTATTGAGTCCCCGCTGCCTGGCACAGAGGACGTACCTTGTCTAGGTCCAGCTTGCACAGGAGGACTGGGGATTGGGGCACGTCTGTGCCCTCGGCCGCCCCGGCAGGCCTGCTCACCTCTCGGATGACCTGCGGAGAGGATGCACAGTCGTGAGCAGGTGGGCAGGGGTACCGTAGAGGCAGAAGAAGAACGGGGTCTGTGCCGTCAAGGCCATCGAGCAGCGGGGCTGAGATCCCTGGGCAGTGGGAATGGGTTGATGTGGCCTCCTGCACATCGGGGTTTGAACAGGCTTTCCCCTTGAATTGAAAAGAGAGGGGGCTGGGGAACAAGAGGCATGGCTTCTAGACCGGGCTCCATTGCTAATCAATTGTGCAGTCTTGTGAAAGCCACTTTCCTCCTCTGGGCCTTAGTTTCCCTGTCTGTCACATGCGGATAATACTGTCCTCTGTTTACGTCCTTGGGTTGCCTGAGGACCAGTGAGATCATGGGTGTGAAGGGCCACATGACCCAGGACCCCCCGCACAAGCACGAGGGACTGGCTCCCGTGACAGTGTGGAACCTTGGCAACAGCCTGCAGGCAGCCGGGGGCTACCCCCTCCATTTCAAAGGTGTGGACATGGAGATTCCAGGGCACTCACTCACATTGCAGAAGCATCCAGACCATGAAATAATGGCGGCCGTCACCTGTTGCTCACCCATCTGCGGTTTTACATGGATTATCCTGTTGTATTAACACAGTGGCCTCGAGGGGCAGAGACAACTGGGATCCCCACATCACAGAAGAGAATGATGGGGCTCCGAGAAGCGAAGCCGTGGTTGCCTGCCCTGAATCTCTGGGCTAATGACCTCCCCGTATCGGGATATCAACACAGTCTCTAGTCCAGGCTTGACTCCAGTCTCAGTCTCCAGTCTAGGGCTCCTTCTTCTGGCCCCCCTGGCCCCTGGAGGGCAGAGGCTCCCCCACCAGGCAGGTTCTCTCCCTTCTTTCCCCCCCTGAGACAAAGATAATGAGCAGCACTAAACCTCCCAGGGGGAGAGCTGGTTATCACAGGAAGGAAGGGAGGATGGGGAGGGAGGGAGGTGTCTGGTTTCTTTGTCCCAGCAGGAGGATCACAGGATGAGGGAGAAAGGTGCCAGAGGGGAAGCTGGCCAGGGTGCAGGGACATGGCGGCCTGAAGTAAGGGACTGGGGATGGTGGCTCCACCACCAGGACACAGTGATCACTCACAGTTACTGAGTACTTACTGTCTGGCAGCTCTATATTAAATGCTCTCTAGAATCTTTACAAGAACCATTTTACGGAAGAGGAAACTGAGGCACAGATAGGCAAAGTCATTTGAAGATCACATAGCCAGTAAGTGCCATTTAGGCCTGGGACCTGAACTCAAGTCTGTGTGCCACCAAAGTCCTCCCTTGTCATCACTGTGCCACCCTGTCTATGGCCTTTGGAGTAGATTTCCTTGGCAACTTCTACTCTTGGCCCTGACAACTTAGTTGGGTGACTTTTGGCAAGTCACAGAAGATTCCTAGGCCTCAGTTTCCTCATCTGTAAAATGGGAACGATAATAGTCCCATTGCAAAGAGTAAATGAGGTCAAGTATGTAACGCTGTTAGCACAATGCATGGCACAAAATACGCGCTCAGTACACAGTAACTAATTGTTCTACAGTCTGAGGCAAGATGTGGAAGCTGGGCCACAGGTGGTTGTTCCGAGGATACACATGTCACCTAAGACAGGAAGGATTTCCTCTTTTTAATTTTTTTTAAAGGTTTAGCTCATCTAATGATAAAATGTGTTTCCTTCAAAGATGTTAAGCTCCGCATTCCAGGAGGTATACATATGCAGGCTAGACAAGCCCACAGTGAGGGTGTTAGAGGATTCAAATCACTAGAAAGAAGGCATTACTTCAGCCTGAGGTCTGTCTCCTGGAGATGTCTGAAGCCCACTTCCACATGTCAGCCCTAGCCATGCACAGGGTTCTGATCGCCACCCCTCCCTGAGCAAGGCCTGTTCTTCCAGGGACGGGAGCCCACCTGGCTGAAAGCTGAACCTGGGGAAGGGGGGAAGGAAGGGCAGGTGCCACGTACCTTCAGCCACTCCTCGGCTTGCTCCCGGCTCTGCAGTGCCAGCACCAAGACCTCGGTAGCCCCCTGGGAGAAGCGCAGCTCATGCCTCTTGTGCCGGCTGTCCTTGGGCACGTAGGTGACGCTGCAGACATCCAGCGCCAGCCTCAGATGCGGCTGCCGGTCCTTGGAGCTTTTGTAACACTGGACAGGAAGGGAAGGGCTCACCCTTCTGGACTGGAGGGCAGAGGAGGGAGATGCCCTCACACAAAGACTTGGGGGAGCTCGACCTACGCCCTCCCCACCCCTAGCCCAGCTGTGGGCACTGCATGAAGATAGGGGCTGTGGCTATTCACCCCAGAGAAAAGAAGCCTGGAAGCGGGGCATATTTGGACAACCTTCAGATCTCAAGGGCTACCGAGGGGCCCCAGGGGCACAGCCACCTATTAGGAAGAGGCAGATTTTAGCACAATACTAGGAAGACCATTCTAGTCTAAAGAACCAGAGAAGAAACAGGCTGGCTTGGAAGGAAGCCAGCTCCCTGCTACTAATGTGCTACCTAGCAGGAATGTGGGAGAGAGAATCCTAGCAGAGGTGGAGGGCTGGGCTTGGGAAGTCAGTAGTTTATCAATAAGGACCCCCTCACTTCCCAGTTCTTATTATGAAGCCAGCATTACCTTGGTACCAGAACCTGACAATGACATTACAAAAAAGGAAAATGATAGGTTAATCTCAACATGGTGGCAAAGCCCTCAAAAAACCACTAGCAAATAGAATCTAGACACATATAAAAGCATACTGTATCAAGACGTAATAGGATTTATTCTAGGATTGCAAGAATGCATTAGCCTTCAAAAACCAACCCTATAATTCATCATATTAATGGAAAATAAGGAGAAAAGCCACATCTCAATAGAAACAGAAAAGGCATTTGGTAAATTCTCCACCAGTTTGTAATATAAACTCTTAGCAAACTAGAGAAATAGATGGAAACTTCCTTAATGTGATAATAAGGAACTTCTACAAACCACCCACAGCAAACATCAGCCTTAATAGTGAATTATTGCAACTTTCCCTTTGAGCTTTGGACTTAGACAAGGACGCCTGCTCTCACCACTTCTATTTACATTGTATTGGAGATCCTAACCAATGCAATATTTCAAGAAAAAAATGGCATAAGGAGTGGGAAGAAATAAGTCATGACCTTTGGACTGGTTCTGGCCTGGGGTGAGCTTTTCACTGCTCCAGGATGAGAAAAAATCATGTTTCAAGTGGATATATGTTGGATAAGACTTCTCAATGGATTTTGGGGTAAAGAACCAATAATTTTTTTCTGAAATTATGTCTGTATTCCTACTCTGGAATTAAAGGTATATTTTCTTTTATGAAATGATGGCGATGAGAGATGGCAAATTAAAAAAAAAACTAAGAAAGCAAGTTCCATAGTAAGTGCTGCGTGGGCTCAGTTTTAGAAAAGGCAAATGAATGGAAATGAGAGTGGAAACATGGATATTAAAACTTAACAGTAGGGGCGCCTGGGTGGCTCATTTGTTAAGCGTTGCCTTCAGCTCCCATCATGATCCCGGGGTCCTGGGATCGAGCCCCGCATTGGGCTCCCTGCTCAGCGGGAAGCCTGCCTCTCCCTCTCCCACTCCCCCTGCTTGTGTTCCCTCTCTCGCTGTCTCTCTCTGTCAAATAAATAAATAAAATCTTTAAAAAAAAAAACAAAACTTAACAGTGGTTAGCTCTTGGTCGATGGGATTTTAGGTGGATTTAAAAATCATTTTCATTATGTTTTTCTCTAGTTTTATATATAAACACATTTAGTTGCATTATGAAAACAATAAACACTGTTTTAAACTGATAAAAGTTCATTCCTGGAGAAACAAAAACTTGGTAAAGTCTATATCAGGTCTTTGAGTATGTGTGTGTGTGTGTGTGTGTGTGTGTTCATTCTGTTCCAGTGGGAGAGCCCTGATCTCAGAAGCACTGAGCCTCTGTGCACAAAGCAAGCCCAGAGGAACAGAGGCAGACATGCCTGCACACACACACACACACGTACACGCACACACACACACGGACACACACACACACACGTAAGTCCATGTGAGGCCTAGAGGCACACTTCCGCAGCCACTCACCAGGAGCTGGTCCTCCTTGATGACGGTCAGCTGCTTGGCCCACTGCCCGAAGCGCTTTTTCCGTAGCAGGAAGGCACATATCCTGCTGTCCCTCACCAGGTGCATGGAGGCCTCCTCCGAGGGCCACTGGTGCGTGGGCTGTGGCCCTTTCCCTTCCTCCTCCTCCTCATCATAGGACTCGTAGGAGCTGCTCATTGGGTCAGAGTCATTGTCTGTGGGAGCCACGGGAAAGGGCCCGTTACTGTGTCCTCGCCTGGGAGGCACCTTCTTACCCTTCTGCAGGTGTCCTTACCCTGGGATTCGAGGACCAAGAGGGGGTGGGCATGAGGTGTGACCGTGGTGATCTCTACACCCCCACACGGGCACAGTGTTGTGTAGATTTACCGGTGGCTTTGCGACCTCGGTGACTTCACTTCTCAGAGCTTCAGTTTTCTTATCAGTAAAATGGTCACAATCAATGACATTATCTACCTCATCAGGTTCTTAGGATCAGGGACTGTAGAGCGTTTAGCCCAGTGTCTGGCACTTGGTGAGTACTCCACTAACATCAGCTACTGTCATACCCCATCATCTCCGTGCCTTAGTCTCAGGTGACAGCACCCAGCAAATCCCCACTTCATACAGAAGGCAACTGGAGGCTCAAAGAGAACAAATGCCTCATTCAAAGTCAGTCATCAAGGGTCAGGGCAATGGCTAGATCCCAGCTCCCAACTCCCATGCCTTTCCACTGACCCCAGGGTCATGAGTACAAGGGCTTGGGGCCTCTGTGGCAACCCAGAGGGGCTGGTATGCATGTGCATGCCAATGGTCAGGTCAAAGCCTTCTCTCTGAGGACAGGACCATTCTGAACAGCTTCTCGGTACTTACAGGAGTTCTTTAGGTCCCCATTCATCCTGGTTGTGGGGTAGCTGCTGTCTGCATCCTCGTAGTAGCCATCCATGATGGAGTGGGCTGGGCTGCAGCCATCTGTGGGGTTGGTAGAAGGAGCGGCACCTCGGAGAAAGACAGGCATACTGCAGGGGCCATGGCTGGGGAAGACCCCAGACAACATGCCCCTCCTTGGGGAAGAGAGAGTGCAGCTCCCTGGCCAGGGTGAGGGGCCTCTTCTCTGCATGTCATCTGCTCCAGCTTCCCACAAGCTCTCTGTGTTTCTGTCACCAGGAGCTGCCCTGTTGGGCCTGTCACACCTCCAGGGCTGTGTTCATGCTATTCCATGTGCTCTCTTAGCTTCTGCTAGAGAACTTCTACTTATCCTTTAATACCCAGCTCAAAGATCTTTTTTTTTAAAGATTTTATTTATTTATTTATTTGAGAGAGAGAAAGAGATAGAGAGAGAGAGCATGAGAGGGGGGAGGGTCAGAGGGAGAAGCAGACTCCCTGCTGAGCAGGGAGCCCGATGCGGGACTTGATCCCAGGACTCCAGGATCGTGACCTGAGCCGAAGGCAGTCGCTTAACCAACTGAGCCACCCAGGCGCCCGGCCCAGCTCAAAGATCTTTCTTTTTTTTTTTTTTTTTTTAAAGATTTTTTATTTATTTATCTGACAGAGAGAGACACAGCGAGAGAGAGAACACAAGCAGGGGGAGTGGGAGAGGGAGAAGCAGGCTCCCCGCAGAGCAGGGAGCCCGATGCGGGACTCGATCCCAGGACCCTGGGATCATGACCTGAGCCGAAGGCAGTCGCTTAACCAACTGAGCCACCCAGGCACCCTCAAAGATCTTTCTTCTGACCTTCTCAGACAGAGCATAGTCAGCTCCTCCTCAGTGATCCCACAGCGGTGGGATGGTGGTGGTGGTGTGTGTGTGTGTGTGTGTGTGTCTTGGTCACAGCCCTCGTCCCTATACTGCAAGGAGTGGTGCTCCAGCTGCCTGGGCTCAGCCCCCCTCATCTTCTGCCACTTCAGTCCTTCTGCTCCCTTCCTGATGCGTATGCTCCCTCTTGTGATGGAGATTCTCCTAAACTTCTGTGACTACGGGGAGGACCTGGACTAGAGGAGTTAATGGAATAGCTCCTACAATAGTGAACACGACAGCTCCCTGCATGGAATGTTCCCAGCACACTCCCACTCAGGGGCCGCACAGTGCAGGGGTGTGGGGGCTGCTTTCTGAAACTGTATTCTGCATCAGAATTACTGGGGGTCTCTTTACAATGCAGATCCCCGGACTGTCTCCCTAGAGATTCTGATTCACCAGTGTGGGTGTGGGCTGAGCTGAGGAATCTGCATTTTAAAAAAATCTGTTTAACAGGACATTAAAAAACATGTACAAATGGAAACTATATGGAACGCCAAGAAATCGGATTTTTTTTTAAACAACTAAGGTTATTTTGACGCAGATGGCCCCTGGGGCACACTCTGAAGGTCAGTGGGTTAAGGGCATGTGCTTTGGGTTTGACCAGATTTGAGGTGAAATCTGTCACCACCATTTATTGGCCATAAAAGCCCCCAGTTTCTCTGCATTTCATGGTCTTCACCTACGGTGACGGGAGCAGTTCCCACCTCGGACGAGTGATACAATGCATATAAGCTCTTGGCACAGTGCCTGGCACATAGAATGTGCTGAACAGATGCCAGATGTCATTATTACTACCATCTCCTTTGATTCCTACAAAGCAGGGAGGTAGGTATGGGCCCCATTTTACAGACGGGAGCCCTGCAGCCGTAGACCGTTTGCTAGGGTCAGAACCTGCATGGGAACTGAGGTTGTCAGCTCAGGGAATAGATGCACATCCCTCTTCCAGGAAGACTTCCTTCATGCAGTCCAACTGGCTCTCGTACCACACTGTTCTTCAAAGTGCTGCTCTGGGCTCCCAGCCGCTGCCATCCATCTGTTTCCTGAGGACGGCAGCACTGAAATTCCCAGCGACTGGGATACCAAGTGCTGTCTCCCAAGTGAGGAGCAGAGCCTGCCCTTCCCAGCAGGTCCTCTGAGGCCTCAGATGCCGGTAATATCCTGTGAGATGGATGGGTGGAGCGGGGGTGGGGGGGCAGGGGTGCAATGGGGAAGAGGGAGGGGACACCCGGGGCAGCGCTCTTGAATACCTGGCTGGGCTGGTCGCTGTGTAAGAGGAAGGATGTTCCCCGACGGGCTTGGCACCCTCTCCCTGGTCCAGCCCCCTGGCCCTTCCTGAGGCCCGCCCTTCCCTCCTGGCCCAGGATCCCCGCGGCCCCATGGGAGAGGAGTGTGAGCTCCCTGGGGAGGTAGAACAGTTTCACCCAGCCGAGGGGTTTGACCTGGGATTCAGGGCTCAGCAGCACTTTGTCCTCACCTTCCTCTCCTGTCCTCAAGTGGATAAAATAGAACAAAGTCAGCTGCTTCACATCCAAACAGCTGCTTACAGCAACACAGACCGCAAGACTTTCAAGGCTGAAGAGAGCCACTGATCACCTGGTCCAACCCCACCATTTCACTTTGTTTTCACTAGTTGGTTAATCCTAAAAATAATATACCACAGTAGCCCAAGGAGGAAAAAAACCCAAATGTCCATCAACTGACTGAACAAAATGTGGTCTATCCATACAATGGACGATGACGTGGCCCTAAGAAGGAGAGGAGTACTGATTCATGCAGTGATACGGGTTAACCTTGAAAACGTTATACTAAGGGAAATAAGCCAGACACCAGAGGCCACACATTGTATGGTTCTATTTATGTGAAATATTCAGAATTGGCCAATCCATAGAGACAGAAAGGAGATTGGTGGTTGCCAGAGGCTCAGGGGAAAAGGGGAATGAGAGTGACTGCTTAATGGGTATGCGCTTTCCCCCTTGAGTGATGAAAATGTCTGGAAACTGGGTAGAGCCGATGGCTGCCCAACACGGTGAGTGTACTAAATGTCCCTGATTGGGCACTTTAAAGTGGTTGAAATGGTCCATTTTATGTTATGTATATTTTATTACAATAAAAAAAAAATATGACCATGGTGATAAGCACAATCAGTATAAGAGTATGAATGGGAAAATATTATGTTCCCTTCACCCAGATTTCTACAGGGAAATACTGTTCCCGGTTTCTTGCATATCCTAGAAAAATTGCTAAAATGAACGCATGAGTGTGTGTGTACCGTATTAAGGAACAAATGGAATCATATAATAGGCAGTATTCTGTGTTTGAGGTTTTTATCAACGAAGGTATCTTGGAATTCATTTCTGATCAGCACAGACAGAACTATTTCATTTATTTTTTGGCAGTTGGAAAATACTCCACTGTGCTACTGAATGAGAGTAGAGCACCACATAAACATTATCTTATAAAAGTTCAACTACAAATGCTGGGTCACCCAAAAACCATAATATAGTTTCTTGTGTGTGATGTTAAGTTCCTATATCCAAGCCAGTGACTTATCTGATCCTCAAAAAAACGGCCAGTTGTTTCAGTGCTGGAGGGAACCATGGAAAGAGGAGTCCAAATCTAGAGACTCTCCTTTGTGGCCAAGTTAAGAGATTTGAATTCCCTGGGGTGCCCACAATAGGAAGACCTTTTGATTTTGGCCATGTGCTTTTTTTACCCCACACGTTCACTTTATAACTTACTTCTCCTCTCAGGTGTGGCCAGGCTGAAGTACAAACCAGTTCACCGGGTCTACCGAGGAGGAGCACGTGGGGGAGCACCAGCTTCAGTGGCCGTCTGTGTACCTCTGTCCCCGCACATTTATATGCATGTATCCAGCCCCTTCTTATTTTCAGAGTAGGGAAGGGGATTGTCCAAGACCGCACAGAACTGGGGCTGGAACCAAGCCCCTGATCCCTGGGGCTAGGCCCACTGGCCTCCCCAGGCCTTCATTAGAGAGGCCAGGGGCTCAGGCAGCTTCTCCCCAGGATGTGGGCTGGGCTGGGCAGGTGCCGGGCTTGGAGCTCCAGCCCTAGAGGGACACACGGGAGCTTTAGGAGAGGAGTCCCCCCGGGGGGACCAGAACTTACTGTGGGAGCTGATGTACTCAGGGGACTTCCCCGGGCCCAGGGGAAGGGCCTCTTCATAGTAGTCCTCGGGCGGAGGCCTTTGGGGAAGCGGTGGAGGCAGGTCAGCTGCCTGAAGGGGGACAAAGGAGGCAGATAAGACCAAGAAGGCCAGGAGAGCAGAGGGAGCCGGTGGGGTGACGGCAAGGAGGCTGGGGCAGAGAGAGGCAGGAGCCCCGAGGAGGCGGGATGCATGTTCTGAAGGTGAAGCCGGAACTTCTGACAGGGTGGCAGAAGGCAGAGGTGGGAACCCTGAGAGTTTGCTTGGTCCTCTACTTCTTGCCCAACTTATTTCAGCATCAGGGCTTCTCCGTAAGATCTAAAAGTTTTGTGGAGTGCCACATAGGCGTAGTCAGGCTTTTGATTAAGTAAGCGCATGCAAAGTGATCAAAAACTACTGTGAGTTCTGCAATGCTCTGCAACCACATCTACACACCTGTGAGGAACAGCAAGACAAGTACACGGAAGACACGTTACTTAGTGAGGCAGCACGGCCTCGTGGCTAAGAGCTTAGGCTCTGGGGCCAGGGCACCCCTGCTTCACCGGGATTAAGCTCTGTCACTTATGAGCTGTGGGCACTGACATGTCGCTTACGCTAAGTCTCATTTCCTCACCTGTGAAATGGGGATAACAATGGTGCCAACCTCATTCAGTTATTGTGAGCATGTAAAGGACGTAGTAAGGGGTCAACAGTTGGTACCATTGGATGGTGATGATGATAGTGAATTATGCAGTTGACAGTGTTTGATGTGATTATGGGCCCTTTGCCTTAATTCCGTGGATGAAGGCTGGGAACCCTAGATATGATCCAAACCTTTATTTTGTAAGTGAAAAACAGGCTCAGAAAGGGGAGGTGATTTGTTTAAGACCACATGGCAGCAGGAGGAGGGCAGAGGCCACCAAGCGCTGGTCCGGAGCTTTCCTCACACTCCACGTTTATTATGGCAATCAGAAGTTGGGGTGGGGAACGTCCTTTGTGCCTGAACTGACAGATCAGTTCACCACATTATCCCTGCTCAGCGTGGGCGCAGTGAGCACATAACGAGTCACTGAAATGTTCTCACAACCTGTTTCTCCCCTTAGAACAGGGTCCTGCACAGGCAGGAGGGACCCAAGCATTGTGGGGAGAGCTTCACTGGCCACTTCAGAGGGACAGAGGGCCGGACGGTGTGGGAACCCAGGCCATGACTCACGTGTCTCAGAGACGGGCTCTTGGCTGGCTCAGGGCTGGCTCCTTTGCAGGGCTCCCCGTCATCCTCTGGCATGTCCCGGAGGTCGCTCAGGTCACAGTCTACCGAGGGGCAGGCCATTGGGGCAGAGCAAGCCAGGGATGAGCACGGTAGCATGGGAAGAAGCCTGGATCTGGGGTCAGGAGGCCTCTACCACCTCCTTCGTTAGAAACCCTGGGCAAGCGACTTCATCACTCTGAGACTTGGTCTTCTCTGTAAACCGGTCCCAATAATCCCTGGCCTTGTCTGTCTGCCAGGGTTATCAAGAGGGCCAAATGAGATATCTCGTGTGGTGCTTTGGAGATTTTCAAGAAGTGGGTTATGAAGGCACCGGGTCTTCCGTCAGTCTCTCCATCCCTGAAACTTTCACCTGACCCGCAGCTTTCTTGAAGCAGAATAGTGCTGTCTTCCCTCGGGATGGATCAGGGGGCGCACACACCCTGCCTGCCTCCCGGTGCGCCTGCCCCCACGCCCACGATGCCCCCCCGCAGCTCCCCTCTCTGCTGGGGCGCAGGATGGCTCAACCCAGGGGTCAGGCGGCCACCACCAGTGGATGTGAGCAGCAGGAGAGACAGCACCTTCTTTGGCCTGCACCGTTCCTCCCTACCTTTCCTCAAATCCTGGGGATGACTTCCTGTCACCATACAGATTTTGACTAGACTTTCAGAGCTGGCAGGGCCCAGAGAGGTCAAGGGACCTGCCCAACGTGACTCAGTGTTGCAACGCTAGAGCCAGGCCCCCACACAATCTGAGGACCCTTCCGGAGACTGGGGCAGTGGGCCTGCACACTCAGGGAGGGGACAGCTCCCAGCTGGGGTTGGGAGAGGGTGCCTTACCGAACTCTTCAAAGAGGGACTCCACGAAGCTGGGCCCGGAGTGGAGGTCCGCTGTGTTCACATACAGGTAGGAGACTTCTTTGGCTGTGAGGAGAGGGGGACCATGTCGGCAGTGAGGAGGAAGGGGGGGTCTGCTGGTGCCCACTCTGACGACAGCCGGGTCTCCCCCCCCGCCACTGGGACTCAAGCCCACTCAGGACACGGCACCGTTGACAAAGCATGTGCACATCCTAAATAAGCTCCCTGGTTTTCAAGCTTTGTTCTGATTTTTACATCATTCCTGAGCATCTCCTTTTCCAAGTGGAAGGATGCTCAGAGCCCAGTATAGAAAACAGAACAGGTAAGGTGCTCTGGGGCGGCCAGGGGACAGGGCCGAGCACGGGTGGCAAACTGCCCCCTACTACCCTCTCACGGTCCTGTGAGGGCTGCTGATGACATCGGCCTGTTTTGTCACTGGAAGTGAGGCTCCGAGAGTCACCCGGCGGGGACGCCCCCGCCCCCCATCTCTCAGACGCCCGCAACACTGCGGGACACAGGGCGGCCCGTCTGAGTTTACTGCGCGCTGGGCTGACCTGGGGTGTCGAGAAAAGGCGGGAGTGGACGGGGAGGCCCTGCTGCCGAACGGACGGGGGGCAGAGGGGCTGTGGGGCTGGTGGGGGGGCGTGTGCGGCGTGTGTGCCGCGTGTGAGGGGGTGGGGCGTGGGAGCGGTGTGCTGTGCGTCCTGGTCACGTGAGCACCGTGCACGAGTGTGGGGTGTGCGTGTGGGTGGGTGTGGCAGCTGTGGACATGGCTTTAGTGGGCTGCAGATGGAGGGGGACGAAGAGCCCGGCCAGGGTGGAGAACGACAAAGGGGACGAGGACGCCGGCCAGGCCATGGACGTGTGTGGTGCCCACGCTGTGAGGCTCCGGCCTCCGTGCGCCGCAGGCCCTGGGGAGTTCCTGAAGGTTCTTGAGGAGCTGGGGGCGGAGTGCCGATGGCTGACCTGGGAGGGGCTGCAGGCTCTGCAGGATGGAGGCCACAGCCATCTTCTTCTCCAGGGCAGTGTCACTGAGGTACTCATGGTCCAGGAGGCTGAGCAGCCCCGTGAGCTCAGGGAGCAGCTGCTCGAGCGCTGAGGAGGAAGCACAGCGGGGCCCGGGGTCAGGATCCGGCCCCGCCCCCACCCGCCAGAGGCCAGGGCAGCACGGTGGCGGGTGGGGGGGGGTGGGGGGGGTAAGGCCCGGTGCAACACGGAGACCTCAGCAGCCCTCCCACAGCTGTCCCAGGGCTGGCCACCCGCTCCCGAGGGAGAGCCCTGCTCAGTTAGCCATGACGTTCCTCTGGGCCTCCCCACTCTGCCTCAGACGTCATATGGCCTTGGCCTGAGGACGGACACCCCGGGCTTCAGCCTGGCAACTCTGAGCCCAGGCAGCCCGAGCAGAGGCTCTTAGGCCTGCCTTTGTCCCAGCATGCCCTCGGCTGTCCAGGTCCAGGGGTCCTTTCCCACCGCAGCTCGAGGCTCAGTGCAGGTCCCAGGCTGGAGCCCCCCGCCATCCAGGACACAGGCAGGAAGGGAGCCTTCCTGTCCCATCAGTTCATACACTTCAATCTCTGGAACCTTCTGTTTCCGGTGCCTTGGTGGGAGCCAAACTAAACATTAACCCTTCCTACCCCAGGCCCCAAACCGTTATCACCAGTCTTCCATGCTTTACCAGCATTTTCCAAACTTGAGTGTGTAGAGGAATTACCTAGGGATCTCATCGAAATGCAGAGGCTGGCTCAGGTCTGGGGCGGGACCTGAGATTCTGCATTTCCAGTGAGCTCCCGGGTGATGCTGATCCCGCTGGTTGAGACCACACGGGAGTTGCAAAACCCTACAGCACATGGTCTTTTAAAGACTGGAGCATGCCACAACCATGAGGTCATTGATGTGTCCCTGTCCCAAACAGTAACTTGGGACTTGGTTCGCCTTAGACCAGCTTTGTTATAGTAGTAGTATTATCCTGCTTTGTGACTTGCTAGTCACTTGTGCAGAATACTAAAAGCTAACCATGTCAAATGATTCTTGTGAGCTTTGCTAAGCCCTTCATACTTACAATCTCATTTAAATATACTACCAAGCATTTTATGGCTCAGAGTGGTTAAGTAACTCCTCCAGGGTCACACAGTCAGTGAAGCCTCGACTGGCCCTGGCTCCCTCTCTCACTAGATTGCCTTGCAGTATTTTATACAACCCCACCAACAAGTTTTGAGATAGGTCCCATGTTCACACCTATTTTTTAGAGGAAGAAACCAAGGCTCAGATAAGAGAACTGTTTTGCTTGCAATCACACAGAGGCCACAGAAGAGCCAGGCCTTTGGCTTATAGTCTCTGGACGCCCAGCGCCATGTGCTTCTCTCCACCCTGGGCCCTCCTAAGGAAACAACCAGACTCCGACTTACAGTTACAAAGTCTGTGTGTGGTAGAGGGGCTGTAACATTGTGCATAAGAGAACCAGCCCTGGAGCCAGACTGCATAGGTTCACGTTCACGCTCCATTCATTAATTGCGGGACCTTCGAAAGTTACTTAGCCTATGACTCAGTTTCCACCTCTATACAGGGGGTCATAATAACACCTGCCTTAGAGGGTTGCTGTGAAGATTAATTAGGTCATGCATGAGAAGTGCCTTTCCCCAGACAGAGTAAACGCTCACCCCAAGTCAGCTGTTGCGGCTCTCATTGTATTTACCTTGCTGATCTGTGCTGTGCAAGTCTCCAGGAGAGTCTGCTCCCACAGCAGGCTGTGAGGCTCTAGACAGGGTAGACGGCCCTTGGAATCTCAACTTCCTTCACATCTAGTCTGGGGCCTGCTCAGTGCTGGTGCTCCATATGTATTTGATGAGAGAGGGCATGAGCAGATGACCACGCCAGGACTTTTAAAAAAATAGAATCGTATGTACAGACAGTGGCACTTGTTGGAAAAAATGTGATGTGGCCGTCTCTCTGTGGCATTCCATCATCACCTGAAATCTGTTGGAAATGAGCTAAAGGCTGATCCCATCAGCTACCACCTCATGAGCTCTCTCTGCTGTTGGGCACTGAGATAGGGGCTGTGTATGCCCCGCCTCATCTGTGAGCAGGTCCTGCTGGGATACCTGTGTTCCAGAAGAGGACTGAGGCCGAGGGAGGCTGTGGGATGTTTGCACAGCGTGAAAGAGGTGGAGCCAGGCTAATTCCACGTTTGTGTGATTCCTAGAGCTGCCGAGTCGCACAATGCCAGGGGGCGCGACTCACCTCACAGCCCAAGTGCAAGGGCCCTGGAGGCCCTGCTGCCTCCACAGCCCCAGCCCTGGCAATGCCACCTGAGCAAGGCTTCTGGGTGGGTAGATTTCCCTCCTTGAAGTAGGAAACCACTTAAAATCATAAAAGCATCTTAGGTAAATTTTAGCTGTTGCAAAGGAAATCTTTATAAATGGAATCACAAACCTCTCCGGCACCCTCACCGGATACTCTGAAAGTCAGTAACTCAGTTCTAAGATATTGACTGAGCCCTAATTATGTGCCACTCAGGGGATTAGAAAATGAGTAAGATATTGTTTCAGTGGGTATGCTCCCTCCCTCTCTGTCTCTGTCTCTCTGTCTCTCTCTCTCTCTCTCACACATACCACACACACACAGACGCGTAATAACTCACGAGGGAGGCCATGGTAAATGCTACTGGGAAGGCACCGCAGGGGACCATGGGAGCTTTCTTGTGGCCTGCAGCCATGGTTTCTATTTGAAAATTCATGACATTGCTCTGGTATCATGTGGGAATGTCAAGGCTATGGGGTACAGTGACTTTTATCCCTCTGAAACTTTTTGGCTTTGGGATTCCTTTGCACATTAGAAAATTATCAAGGACTCCACACAACTTTTGTTTTATGGGGATCATAGTTATCAATATTGACAATAGTAGGTATCAATTGGGGAATAGTAGTTATCAATTTATGGGGATCATAGTTATCAATATTAACAATTAAAGCTGAGAAAATTTTAAACCACAAGAACACACAGGCACGTATCCCATTGGCCTTCAGAGCTACTGTGTCATCATGCGACATAACCTCTGGAAAACTCCACCGTAAACATAGAAAGAACGGGAGTGAAAGAAGGCATATTGGGTCTGAGTACTATATAATAGTTTTGACCTTGTGGACTCCCAGGAAGCATCCCCAACCACACCTTTCGGAGAATCGCCGTCCTTCAATGAATGACCTGGGATTGCTAGGTCTTGTCCCTGTGTCCATTCCTCCTTCCTTCTCTCCCCACCTCCCTCCCACCCTGTCTGTCTCTCATTTCGCTCTGAGGTCCCAAAGATTTATTCTTGCTGTTATCAGTCAGTGCTTATGCCGGCAGCATTCCTGCTTCTAAAAGCTCTCCTGCTTCTAATTTGAGGTTTGTTGCAATTGTTTCTAAAGTAAGAACAGTTAGGTTCTGAGTGAGTTCTCCGCATTGACAGACGGGAGTCTTAACACCCAAGCTTTGTTAACAACTTTATTTTTTCCCTGATTGTTAACAGGATTCCTAACATGGGACCCTGACTTCTAAGTGTTTTTGTTGAATGGAGATGTGATCACAAAAGTCCAAACAGAGCAAAGAAGAAAGAGGGGACCAAGTGAACCTGGGAGAAGCAGGTGTCCATGGCAGCATCTCTGGCCTGGAAGGACCCGGCAGTCAGCAGGTAGCCAAGGGGGAGTCCCACAGCATTTCCAAAGTTGGTTAGCGAAGGGAGCGTGAGCCACAGGGGACTTCTCAGCAAGTGGGCGAGAACCCTTCCCCAGGGCGGAGCAGTGACTGTGTGCTGGGCAATTAGGGTGTACCCTCTCATTTCAGGCTCATAAACTGCACAGGAGGGATGTAGTGTTGTGCTCTGTGTCCCATGAGGGAGGGAATGGAGGCTCAGAAAAGTGACGCCACCCAGCTGGTAAATGGTAAGGCCAGGCCTTGAGCCCAGGTCTGACTTCACAGTGTACACCCTGTGCCAGAATCTTCCATCAGAAAACATGGTTTCAGAGCAGTGGAGGCCAGGCTGGGGCAGGGAGGAGGCAAGTAGCCCCTCAAAACCCTCCTGCTGGGGGCTCTGGGCCATGACTTCATCAGGGCTCCTGACCTGGGGTCCCTGCACCAGATGGGTGGAAGGCTCTTATTGGGGGGCTAAAATTCTTGCTCAGTGGGTCTCTCTGCACTGGGACTGTTTGTGAACTTCAGAGCCCTAACGGTAAAGATCCAGAGAAGGAAAACAAGTGGCTCAGAGCATCTACCTGACTTAACAGCAGGATCTCATCCCAGAGGGCCCCTTATACCTCACGGTACAAGAAGGCTTTCAGCCGGTGCTCGGCTCTTCAAAGGCAGTACCTTTGAGCTCTCCCCCCAAAAGCTGGCTTTCAGGGGCAATGAATGTGGCAATGCCTTCCGTGGCAGCTTCGTCTTTAATGCCAGAGAACTGAAACCACAGGGTTTTAAATGATCGCAGAATTTAATCTGGAGAGAAATCGTATGTGTATAGTGCATATGGCAAGGTGGTTCTGCCAGGCCTCAGACAGACTGCCAGGACAGCAGCCTCAAATTTTAGCAAGAATAAGATTCTCCCAGTGGGGGTTGTTGGAAAGGCCGATTCCTGGACCTCCTACCCGGGCCTTCTGATTCCATAGACCCTCTACTGAGACCCAAGAAACTGCATTTTATTTTTTATTTAAAAGATTTTATTTATTTGCCAGAGAGAGAGAGAGCACAAGCAGAGGGAGTGGCAGGCAGAGGGAGAAGCAGGGAACCTGATGTAGGGCTCGATCCCAGGACCCTGAGATCATGACCTGAGCCGAAGGCAGACGCTTAACGACTGAGCCACTCAGGTGCCCCAGAAGCTGCATTTTAGTAAGTACTCCAGGTGATTCCAAGGTTCAACCTTTGAAAGCTACTCCGCCAGAAAACCCACACTATAAGGCACGTCTGTGAACATAAGGAATGTGGGAAGACCTTTCTCGTTTGCTCACAAGTTATCATTAGACCTCACCTTTGAAAGAACTGCAAGTCCAGGTGGGAATAAGAGCTCCCACAGATTATAAATAGCCGGAGCCTGGAAGCTTGCTGAGAAGAGCACAGTGCTTGGGTCC